ATACTTACCTGCCCCAGGGCCCTGTCCCTGCGCTGGTGGTATCATGGCTACGACTAGCTTGGACCAGCTCTGACCAGCTTGGACAAGCTTTAACCAGCTTAGACCAGCAGCCTGAGTGAAAACACTTGGGTCCCCACATTAAAAACTGACCTTGTGTACAGTAAAAAAAGAAACAAAAAAAAACTTGATTTATCATTCAAACATAAATTTTTATCAGTTGGTAATATTCCTAAATCCATCTTGTTTACTTAATCATCAATAAATTGAAAAAAATCTTACTTTTTAAAGAAATAATAATAAATCATAACAAGTAGCTGGTGGTATTTTTTTATATTTTGCTGGAAACAGAGGAAATGGTTTCTATGCATTATCCTCCAAGAAGGCTCTTAGGATTCAGGAAGATTGGTCATTTGATGTTATATTTCGAGATGATTAAGAGTTTTTACTTGAAAAAGAGAAACTAAAGAGAAGGATTAATTACAGGACATAGAATTTAGATGATGATATTAACTTCTACCAGTTGATCAGTTTGTCTTGTAAGGCTTAAAAGAATTCTAATTATTGGCTAGAATCAAGATTAATAATGGTATTTAAATCATCATTTACTTAAGGAATGCAGTCTTTGCTTTGACAATCTGAGATGTTGATGGCTTTAATGGTTTTTGCTATTTTGGTTTGGGTCCCATGTCTATAAGAAAACCATTTGCAAGCATCTTGATTTTGTTTGGGTTTGCTTTATTTTCCGTGTATGTTTTGATCTCTTGTCTGCTTTTATATTGTGGGTGTTTGTTTTTCAAGCATGATTCTTTGCCATCTTCATACTCCTCATTATTATTATTATTATTATTATATTTCTTGGTCAGCACTATTCAGCTTTAATAAGTGATGGCAACAGCAGCAGCAATGTTTACTTTGTGACAATATTTTAGTTTTTTATTTTCATCTTTAATTTTCCCACATAAAATATGAAAAACATGCTTTCTTCATTGCAGCTAGGTGAAATGTTTCATTCAATGTTTAATGCTTAGGAATTGTTTAAAATTTGATAATCGATAGACTTTATTTTAAGAAAGAGTAAGGGTTAGCTGAGAATTTTGAGAGAAATGAACATGATATACTTGAAAGATAAAGTCATTAACTTTCCTAAACCTTTTATAAGTTCATTGTATTTGTGAAATAATGAATATGTGTATTCTTTTGTTTTCACTTTTGAAAAGAAAACTATTTAAAAAAAAATATTTTACCTATTTTATTTAATCTTTCAGACTTTATGAAATTAATTGTTAAAATGTATAAAGGTATTGTCTAGAAATTAATATTTAACTAATCAGTTAGACTCCTAAAGTGGAGAGAGAATGAACTTGGCAATTTCCATTTGAAAAAGAAATCAGGTCATGTATATGTAGGTACTTCCAAAGATTTGCAAAAAAATGGCCCAAACTTAATAAAAACAAAATTTTAGCATAAAAATTTTTGTTATTATTAAGAGGAAATACCAAAGGATTTTTTGATTATTAAATTATATTTTTGAATCCATTTTAGAACCTTAAAAAACTTTAGTGAAAAATTGTTTTTCTTGCATCAGTAAATTAGTATAGGAAAATGTAGCATCTTTTTGTGATAAAAAAAAACACAATAATTTGGAAATTCTTGCAAAAATCAAATAATTGTCAGATTTTAATGAAACTTTTAGGACTTATTCCCAAATGAATGAAATTATTTTAGAAAATCTTGGTAAAAATATATATTTTTTTTTACATTTGTTAGCCCCCCCCCACTTCTGCTTGGAATTGTTAGATTAAAAATGCAATAAAAGTAAGGCATTTAACTAGAAAAAGCTTTTAATTGCTTTTATGAATAAGATATATTATGGACACTATTGTCTTACAAAAAGGTTTTTTTTCCAATAAATAATGAATTTTTACAAGAATTGTTTTCATTTTTTAATTTTTATATTAGAATAGTTTATAAAGTTTTAAATCTTTGAAAATTCTGTATTAATTTGTAGTGATTAGGTGATATTGTTATTAAGTAAAAAACATATTTACTAATCAAATGGAGCTTGTTACAATTCAGTGACCCCCCCCTCAATAATTTAAAATGAATTTTGTGTCTGTATAAACATGCCAATTTTTGTAAATATGGATGTCCATACCTGACATAAGAAAACAAGAGCAGTAACTATATAGTAAATTTAAAATATATTTGTAATTTTCTAACATTTCTTTAACAAGTTGTCTTCATAAACCAAAGCACCTAAAATTCAATAAAATATTATTTTTATATTTTATTAAGTATTTTCCTAAATTTTTAAGATTACTGGGTAGTTAAAAAATTATATAAAAAAGGTGCCCACATTATATTTGTCAAGTAATTTTTACAGTTGTGCCCCCTGTAGAAAAAATTTCCAAACATATGTCTAGTTTTTAAAACCTTGTAAAAATACCTACTCCATGTTAGAAAATGCTGTAATATGTTAAACTAAAAGTAAGTAATATTTGTTTCAAATCAGATTAATTAAACTTTAAATCAGTTAATCCTCTTCAAATAAAGTTTCAGAAATACATATTTTATTTTTGAAAGATTTTTTTAATAAAGCGATTCATGTTGTGTTGACAAATTTGCTAATATGACTGATTTTTAGTAATTTTAATGATTAAAAAAATTCCAATCAATTTAAATTTGGTTTGAAATACAGCAAGTATTTTGCTTATTGGAAATATTAAATTTAATCTATTAGCTTGAAATTAAAACTAAATAAAATCTTCAAGAAAATTGCAATTTAAAAAAATTGCATTTTAAACTTTAGGTATCGCTTTTCTTTGGAGGTAACTATATATATGTGTGTGTGTGTGTGTGTGTATGATAACCAACTTGCTTAAAAATACAGTAGTTGTAAAGTTATTTTAAACTGTAAGTATAATGTATCTGTATATGTTTTATTCAACAATTTTCTGAATGGGATTTGCTTAGTGACTGACAAATGTAAATTGGAAGAAAGTCTCTTCCTGTTGGTAACTTTCGCAACAGATTATGGTCTAAAGTTGAAGAAATTGTGTTTAGTTATTTGACTTCTCTACACTTGTCTTTAATTTTTACTTTTCCATATTTTAATTCTTGGGCTGCCATTGCCTTCCTGGATGTCAGCTGCAAAGAAGTATAGCTATGCTGCTGCTGCTGCTTTGAACATCATCATCATCATCATTCACAATTTGTCAAATGTCAGCCTTGATTTCAATTGATTTTTGTCACTGTCATTTTTCTTAAATGCTCTCTTTTCACCTGCTCTTTTTTTTTTTTTTTTTTTTTTTTTTTAGCAAGTGATGGTAATGTGACTTTTCCCACTTGTATCAAACATTTGTTTTTATATCAAATATCTTTGAGCATCATTTAGAACTCTTGGGGGGGAAAAAAAATTTCTTCAAGTAATTTCACTTTACCATCCTTTTTTGTGTTTATGCAAATATTCTGGGGAATTTCTAAATATGCAGAAGTCATTTTTGGATGAGGGATTTTCATATTAATTGAAAAATTATCAGTTTAGTATGATTTCATTCTTGATTGGTTGAATGGAATCTCTTTTAATACTTTACCAGTTAGGCTGCTTTTTTATAAGCTTAATTGTTGAATTATTTATTAGTAATGATATTCATGATAAAATGCTTGTCATTTGAATCAACAGTTATGAAAACAAACATTGATATTTCCATATTTCTTTTAACAGATATTACAAGGGTAGATATATCTTTTCTAATTGAGTAAAGAGATCAATTAGCTTTAAATAGAGAAAAAATGTTGCCTGCCATGAAATTCAAAACTCTTCTTTATCTAGAAATGAATTTTAACTGGTGAATTTGTTGATAGGCATTCTCTCATATGAGAATGCATACATGTAATTACGCACACTCCAAAATAATACGGTTGACAGGGTTTTTTTTTTTTTTTTTTTTTTTAATTAGTTTCAAGTAAAACACATCCAGAACAATTTTTTGCACTAAATTCTTTTGAAGAACTTTGTTTATGAGTGATTCACATTTCTACTCTTGATACAGCAAACATTACAAAATGTCAGCTTTGGCTCTGTATTAAACAAAATTTTCATTTTTTTGTTTTCTTATTTAAAAACTGACTTAAAATGTAAATTAATTTAAAACTAATTTCTTGTAAATAGATTCACAAATAAGTTGTTCCAGTCTACTTTATGCTATTGTTTTTTTACTGATATGTTTTTGGATTTTGAATGGGATATTTTCTTTAGACAATGCTTACATTTTATTTAGAAAACTCATTTACAATGATTGAATTCTTTGCATATTGCATTGGTTAAATTAAAGATATTTCTGATTGTTGCCCTCATTTATTTGAGATAAAGTTTACTGGATGTGTCCACATGGTTGATTGCTCATTAGTCATGTAGACACTTGAGCTGGTCAAGATTCTTTGGGCATTGGCTGACCAGTGCATACAATTCTCACATAAAATCTTTTTATATTTTTAATTCAGCTTAAACAGAAAATCTGTGCTGTCTTAAAGGTTTTGCGTGAAAGATTTTTCTTTCTCTTAGCAAAGGTTCATGATGAATATAATTAATTGAACCCTTCTACGGGGTGATATTTTCTTTGCTTTTTATTATTCTCTTCTTTTTTGCAAAGCAGTTGGTAAACATATCTGTAGCTATATTTTGTTGAACCAAACCCAAATTGAAACTTAAATTTCTCAATATGTAAATATTTTCGGGAGTAGAGTCAGTAGTGCTTATATTGGTGCCAAACAAGTAACAATTTTTGTGTTTATTCCATGTTCTTGAAAGCCTGTAATATATTTGTTGTGTTCAAAATATTTTTGCTGCTTTTTGTCTTTTCTGCTCTTTGAATCTTAGATGATGATGATGGTGTCTGAAATTTTAAGCTTTTGTGTTTGGTGTTGTATCATTTGACTCTTTGTAACCTTCAAGTATATTTGCTTTTCTTTAGCAATGTTAACATCACATTTGCTTTCAGAAAATGGATCGGGATGCTTGGGAAGATGACCAGACTCCACGAAGCTTGAAATCTCGCAAGAGCTTGCCCAGCTCAACAGAGTTGGAAAAGAAGAAACTCTTGCGTAGAAGCAATGTTGCAGGAGAGAATGTGCTCACCAAACGCCTCTGGATGCTCTACAAGTCCGTTTTTGATTTCTGTGTAAGGAGTCATTGTATCTTTTTATGACCTTAGAACTTTTTTTTTTACTTGTTTTCCTCTCTGCCTTTATACATGTTGTTGTAAATGTAATTCTTTTTCAACCTACTAATTGTGACAGGAGACAATCAAGGTAACAAAATAATAATTTTTATAAATATTTTTAAAGTTGTACTTTGTATTTTTGTATTAAAATGATGCAAGGTTGTGTTCATAATATTTTTTATAACAAAACCCATATGATAATCTGTCATTGATAAGAAAGACAATTTCTAAACTGGATTGACTCTAAAGTTTAAAAATAATCAGTGACAATAACCAGTTGTTGTGTGTCAAGCCATGCGGTATATTCAGTGCAAACATTTTGTTAGTCTTTGCTGCTGTTCATTTGTTGTTCTATAATTTCATAGAATTCAATTCTATTTCCTTTGGATTGGTTAGCATTAGCCATAACAAAGTGATTTCCAAAAGTAGGGCCTCAGGAAAAAAATTGGAACTTTACTAATATAAATACTTTTGAAATGCAAAACCTTTTCATAATAGACTCTGCATTTTCACTTAAAATTAATTGAATAAAACTAATTATTAGTACAATCCTAACTGATGGATTTATTTAATCTTTCTTTTTAATTAATATCTTCTCCTTGATTTTATGTAAATTGTTTTGTTTTTATTTTTGTTTTCAAATCTGAATTGTAATTCCACTTCTCTTGCAGGACTCAAATGGTCGTTATTTACGTGAAATCTTTATGACGCTTCCTTTAAAACGCGATTATCCCGATTACTATCGGGTGATTATGGAGCCAATCGATATGACAACTATTGAAAATAAAATTAAATGTGAAAAGGTAATTTTTTCTTTTTGGCTTATCCTATTTTTGTTTTATGTTTAGATCCTAGCTTGAAAGTTGAGAGTGGCAGAAACTAGTTAACTGATTACTGGCCTAATTTTTAAAATGAGAACAGGGATTTCATGATAAAATACAGGTTCATTCTCAATTCATTGTTTACTTTTGCTGTCAAGATTCAAATTAAATAGTTCTTGACTGTGAGAATTCTATAATAGTATTTTGGTTAGTTTGGACAGAAGAGGAAGTATATATGTCTGCTTATAGTAAGATTTGACATAGAACAAACATCTGAGAAATATCAGAAAGTGCAACAAAGACGAAGGAAAATAGACCAGATGAATCGAAATGCATTACAAAACTTATTTAATAAAAGTTAATTTGAAAAAGCTGCCATAATTTCCACAAATTCTCTTCTTCAATAATATTTATATACACCAATGACACGGTGCACTTATTACAATAATCTGATTTGAATGATTATAGTTGCAACACATGATGATTTCCAAGTTTTTATGTAAGTTTCTTATTCAATTTTGAATATACACAAGTTTTTCTAGAATTATCTCCTCTTACTAAGTATTAAGGGTTTTTTCTTTCTGATTCTATCATGATGTGGTCTGTTTACAGTATGTGAGTGAATTGAAGCTGATCTCTGATTTTGAGCTGATGTTTAGTAATGCTCGTCATTACAATGAAGAAGACTCTCAGGTCTACCTAGATGCAGACACTCTGGAACGAGTACTCAAAAACAAATGGAAGTCAATGATGTCCCATCCAGAGACTGCCAAAAAACCACCCAGTAAAAGGTATTTTTATTTTATACTCCAACAATAATAAACGTTTTAACACAACAATAGTATTTTCATTATTTTCATAATTTCTTATACACTTCACACCAGTTGTGTTTGAAGACTTCACTCTTGTGCAGAAAACTAAATGCATAGAAAATCTGGACATTTATTGCAGATACACTTCCAATGTTTTAACTTCTTTGTTATTTTTCTCCTCTTTATTTGGATTTCTAATAAATTCAATATTAATTCTCTATTCAGCTTACTTTGTTAATTAAAAATGAAGTAAACAAGATATTTGAAATTATTGATTTGTTACATTGACCCTTCCTAATATTTTATTCTGGTGGGAAAACTTTTACAATAATTAATTTTAGCATAACAATATCTTTATACAAAAAAAAAGAGCAAGAGATAATTAATAATTGCGTTGCTATTGTTTGAATGTTTTTCTCTTTCAGCAAATCACGAAGTAAATGCGTTTCGCCATTGTGCATGAAACTTCAGGATCTGTTTGACACAATCAAAGACCATGCTGATTCTCGTGGGCGTATGCTGTCTGCGCCATTCCTCAAGCTGCCCCTTAAAAGTGTATGTAGAAAAATCTTTCTTTGTAATGTTGAGCTGTATTTTATCTGCTTGATAAACTTAGAGAGTAACTTAATCCCTGGCTCAAGATTCAGCAAGTTACAAAAGTTATTGAGCATTAGAGAAAAGCAGCAATACTTGCCACACAGTTTCTGACATTCCAGAAAAAATATTTTCAAAAACTAACTTCATATAGATCTTAGCTGAATGAAATATATTCAAATTTGGTGGTGGGTAGGGGGCCTTTTCTTTGTCACTAGATGGGGATAAACAAGCCATTTTATTTCCTTCTGTTTAATATATATTTAAATGAGAAAATGATGAAGCTGTTTTAGTTCTTTTTCTTTCATTGCCAATTGATTTTGGATAGAATATAATTTACTTAAAAAATACTTTAATAAGTATGACACAATAGTCATTTAATATATTTTCTAAGAAAAACATGTCAGATAAATGAGATATTAGTGAAATCACTGTTGATAGGAAATGTGATTCTTATAAAAAAAAAATCATTTTTTTTCTTTGGTATTTGATAAATTAACTATTTTTAGAAGCTAATGTTAGAAAATAATTTGAATAGATAAACAGAATATAAATATGGCCAAGGAAGACAGCTGATTATATTGATAACCATCTAATCAATTGATTTCTTTTAGGCATTGGATGCTAAAAATAAATCCCATGTTATGAGTTGTGTTGAAGAAAATATGTTGATTGTGGGTCTAAGAATGGAATGAATATATAAACTGTCCTTTTTCTAAAGGGAATAACTAAATAGGAATAGGAAATTTAAAAGAAAAGGATGAGAATGAATGTCTGAACTGTGATCTGTCAAAGGAGATGTGAGATTTTGAATTAAAATGATAAAATTGACAAAAAAAAGGCTAAACCTATTTATTAAAATGGGAAATAGTGAGAATTTTTTCTTAAGATTTTAAATGAAAAAACACTAAAATTAAGAATACTTCATTGCTCTTGGTTATGGTAACTAAAAATGAAAGAAATGCCAAAACTGAATATGTTTTTCTTACAAATTCTGAGTTAAAAAGACTTAGATCAAAAGTCTTGACCTTGTTGACAATTAAGTAGCGGGTTTGGTTGGGTTGAGTGTATTGGAGTAAGCACAGAGAAAGTTATGTTGCTTGGTAAGTCTTCTTTCAAGCTTAAATTTCCCATTAACCTCAAAAAGTAAATTGATTTGAATTTTACCAAAATTTTCAGTTTTATTGTATTTTTTAGAGTGAAATAAAAATATTTTCTGTCTTTCTGACACTATTAGAATAAATCGTTCCATTCACCACATTTTGCATCAAAGTGTAACATCTTTTTCCTTATGTCAACAAAACATACCATTAGTTTTCAATTAGAGTGTCACAAACCATTAGCATATGGAGGTAAGTTGATGCAGTCACAAATGAGTTTAAAACCACTAATATATATAAGTTATGGTCTTTCCAATGGTATATACTAAAATAGACAATACAAAAGAAAAGGATGGTGTGAATGTATAAACTATGGTCTTTCAAAGAGGACATACCTAATTGTTGTGTGATCTGTTGTGGTTATCTTAGCATTCCTTTTTTGTATCTCCTATTTTAGGAATATCCCGATTACTATGAAGTTATCAAGAGGCCCATTGATATGCAGCGTATCCAGCAACGAGTTGCCAGTAATCAGTATGAATCTATTGATGACATGGTAGCAGATTTTGTACAAATGTTTGATAATGCTTGCAAATACAATGAACCAGACTCGCTCATCTACAAGGTAAATTCTTTAAGTTTTTCTAAAGAAAATGAATGTTTCTATTTATTGCTTAAATAATATAAGATGAAAGTTTAGTGTATGTAGTGTTTTGGAAAAAACAACTACATTTTGTCTTTTCACACCAGGCAGTTTGTAGCAATCATTTAAAGGGGCAAAATGAAAAATATTTCACATTTAAATGTTGAGAGAAATGTTTTCCCTCTGACCCCCCCCCCCCATAACAAAAATAAAGATGAAATGAAAAAAAAAAATGTAAGCATTGATTTAGCTTTGTTTTTCTTCTATGAATGTGTGGGGGTGGTGTAATGGTTTGCAGCTTGAAATGAGAAATTAGAGTTGAGTTCATTACATTCTCTTATGAGCAAATACCTTTTGGAACAGTATAAGTCCATCACTTCTCCTCCCAGCTATAGGTTAAGTAGCAGGACAGATTGGTTTCTATAGCCTTGGTTGACAATTATTCTAGAAATTGTAACTTGATAAAATCAACCATCACCCATCAAGCCTGGGTCACTTATGGGGATGTATGATCCTATGAAAATGCACAGTGACGGAAAATCTTCAATCATACAAGTTGTGCATTCCAATGCAGGTAGAGGAAGCATTTACATTTTTTCTTTTAACTGCTATTGTTTTCTGATTTTTATTGTCTCAATGATTTTTTTCCTTGACAGGATGCGTTGACTTTACAGCGAGTTTGTTTAGAGAAGAAATTGGAGCTAAGTCTTGATGGTGTGAATGAGGTCCCAGATGTGCAAGCCATTGTACAAGAGCTGATGACAAACCTTTTCATTTCTGTTTATAATTATCAAGTAAGACATCTTTTCTTCTTACCTCCCCATCTCTCTTTATCTCTTTGTACTTGACTCAGAGATAGGATTTGCCCAGTAAATATATACTTTTTGCATTTTCCCTTATGAACATAAATTTCTTTTTTCAGGACGAAGAGGGTCGCTGCTACAGTGATTCTTTTGCTGAACTTCCTGAAAGAAATCCTGAAGAGGAACTTGAGGCTGGTGTTGATAAAGAGTAGGTTCATGGTTTTTTTTTTTTTTTTTCAGGGATGGGGGTATCATTAATTGACAGCATTAGGCTAAACCAAGATAGAGTACCAACAGCAAAATTAGTGTATTTTTAAATTGCTTGTAAGATTCTATAGATTGCATCGGTTTTATCTTGTTGAACATTGTTTTTAAAATCTTATTCTTATCAGATATTACCACTTATTTTGCAGCTATTTAAAAATTATTTATTATTTTATAATGGATAATGATGCTTGGAAGCAGAATTTTGTGAATATCTTTTATTTTATATACATATACTAGATTTAAATCATTAAAAGGATTCCAATATATTTCAATATATATGAAATGAGTTTTTTTTTCTTTTTCAGAAAGGAAAATAATATATTTAAATAATATATATATATATATATATATATATATATATATATATACATACATTTTGAGTGTTGTTGAGCATGTCATAACAAAGAATTTTCTCACTATTCCCTTAAAAATGAGACTAGGTTGGTAATAATTACCTATCAGTAGGCAAGTCTTACTAACAAAAGTCACAATGTTCATTATTATATACAATATTTTGTTCTTTTTTTAAAAATACATTTAAATGTGAGTGAGGTAACTTACAGGAAGATATAATGTACAGTGCTGTTCGATAAAAGTGGCTCACCTTATTTTTTTTACTAAAAATATTTTTTGTCTATTGTTTTTGGGGTTAAAATAATTTTAACCCCTTAGGGTGAGTAAACTTTTTTACTTGGTGGCCGGAAAGGGATCTTTATATTAGTAAGATTAAAAATTAGTTTGACCCCAAAAAGAATAGGCGAAAAAATTTTTAAGTAAAAAAAAAATCAGGTGAGTCACTTTTTATCGAACAGCACTGTATGCAAAAGTAAGTACATCAATAAATCTAATGAGGAAAACAAAGCATTTATTTTACATCTAATCTGCATTTAATTCAGTGATTAATATTAACCACACATTGAACATTATACAGTAGGTACATCCACTGAATTTTCGATATCTAAGGTTTAAAATTAATTTTTAAAAATTAAAAAGCATCCCTGAAGATTTCAGTCTAACTTTAATTGAAAGCTAAATGATTAAATTTACTATTTCCAGTAAGTAAATAATCTTCCAAAAATAAAATATGCATTTGTAACACATTATTTGAGTAACATTAACAAATTTAAAGTTAAATTAACTTGATTTGAAACAAATACTACTTACTTATAGCATAAAAAAATAGTATCCAAACATTTCTTAATGACAATCCTATTTTTCTCGTGTCTTTTATTGACGTTATTGATAAGTTACAAGGTGCTGACAGCTAGTATGAATGACCAGAATTGACATAAATTTATGAAATCTAAGTGAACGCATTTTTTTTGGTTTTTAACTATCTAATAATTTTTACAAATTAACATATTTTCAATAATTATCTAATATCTTATTGACTTTAGTTACGTTTGAAGTTGCTTTATGAAAAAATAATAAAATTTAAAAATATAAAATTTTCTTAGATTAATCTTAAAATTTAATAACTGATAGAGGTAAAAATTAATAATTTATGAAATATGATAATTGTTATCATGATAGTTATTTTATTAAATTTTTATAGTACTTTAAATTTTATTATTAATTACGTAATTGTTTAAATTTTTATTATCTTAACCCAATACCTTAAACAATATTTAAAAAAATTGCTGCTATGCGTGATGGTGAAAAGACTTTTGGAAATATTTTGTGGCCCTAAAAAGGTCCATTTTTATCTTCCATTGCCTATTCATTCGTCACCATTGCAGAGCTGATTTTCGAAATACAAGTCCTGCATAACATGGTCAGTGTTAACTTCATATTTGGTCAATTGATAGTAGTCAGCTTGTGGGTAATTCAGTTCGCCCGTCATTTGCGCTGACTGAAATGGATTAAAGTGCTTGCTTTCTTTCTCGTTCTCCGCTCTACCAACTGAGCTGTCGCTATTGACCTCTTCCTATTTCTCTCATTAGTATGCACGTATGCTGTCACACCAACAACGTGTTTTGTTCTGTCCCGTCTTCCTCACTATTTATGCCTGCGTTGGGGACAACTAAAATTTGCATACGAGACTTATTTCTTATTCGCCCGAGACTTTCGATCTTATAAATATATAAGAGTTTTGGAGTAATTCATGTTCGCTTTTAACACTGGTGTAACACGTGTTTTGTTCTGTCCCGTCTTCCTCACAGACTCTCTATTTATGTCTGCGTCAGGGGCAACCTAAATTTGCATACGAGATTTATTTCTCGTTGGCCTGAGACTTTCGATCTTATAAATTTATGATGGCTTGAATTTTTAGTTTTTTTAGTTTTCTTTTTCGTTGTATGCCTGTCCACGATATAAGAGTTTCAGAATAACTAATTTTCACTTTTAACGCCGGTTGCGATCTTTCAACCAGACCTGACACGCCAAGCAAATTTGCTTTGCAGAAAGTAAGTCTTCTTGTTCCCCACACAGCTACATCATTGAGATATGAAATCGTATAAAATAGATTTGCAAAACTAATGATGTAGCTGACATATTCACAGTTGACACTGTCAATTGCCCAAATGTATCTGATTGTATGCCCAACTATAAGCCATGTGTGTATTTCATGCAGGACTTGTGCACACTTGGGATACCTAGAAGCCAAAGGAGAAACTGACAAATCTTTCTGTTCCTTTAGATTTTTCTGGATCAAAGCTCTTCTTTTTTGCAGCTGGTCATCTTTAGCCTTGATCCTTTTACCAATTTCTTCATTGATTTCTTATTGGCATCTTATTCATCCCAGTCTTCTGTCTGCTGTACATCAGTGCCAACTGTAGATGTTCCTGGAACTGCTTAGCATCCATATCATCAATGAATTTCCTTACTTGATTCCACTTGGCTTTGATGATATCGCTTATGCTTGATACATAAGCATTAGGTGCAAGCTTCTGTCTTTTGCAAAATTCACTGATGATGCTTTCAGGTAGCATGGTGTGCTGCCTCACCAATGTTAAGAGTGACTTGAAAAAAGCCTCTACCATGCTGAATGATTTTTTACTAATGCCTGTTACTAAACTTCCATGATCCCTTTTAAACAGGCAGTTATCATTTGTCAAAATAAGTGTGCATTTGCTGGGGCAATCAGTAGGGACTCTATCACTTTCTTTGGTAATGTATTTCCAAAAAATTACTCCATGAAGTTGAAAATAAACATGGAGTTCTTGGTGAGTATCTTCAGATTGTCAATAACCCCCTTGACAATGTTCATAGTGTCGATGGGGTCTCTTTGGGTATTTATACTGGTGTAGAAGGCCCTGATAGCAACTTTCCTATGATTCCCAGCACTTGTATCTTGATGATAGCAGCTTCTTCCGTAAATATCTGTTGCAATGTTGATCTTATTAGTTGAGGAAATTCCCAAGACAAATTGTTTGCATTGTTCAAAAATGGGAAAGAAAGTTGCACCTAAATGAGAAATTACATGCAACTGATTCCCTTGGAATCTAGTGATATCGGACCATGGAAGACCTTGTTGTTCAATAAAGGTCCTCAATTTCAAAATAAGGCCAAATTTATCACTATATCTAAGGGAATTCACGGCTACAAGAATTAGCCATGCTAGGCATTCACTCAGATTTGTAGTTCCCTCGTAATCCCTCAGGACCTTCCTTATCTTTGTTGCAACTGTTTCTAATGGATGCAAATTGCAGTACATTTCCACAAGTTTAACCTGCCACTTCTTTCAATAACAAAACCATTGAATGGTTGACAAGAGCCTGGTTTGTTAAGTAGCATTTGATTTTCGAAAGTATGAGTTTTAAATTGGCATCAACACTTATGCCAATAGACAGTGAGCCTACTTTAGCTAAGTTGTTGATGCAGTCACAAATATGCTGCTTGTAGTCCATTGCAGTTCCTCCAGGAAGACATTTCAGTGACACAAGATGGAAGTATGGTGGTGTTGTCAATACCACATAGTTCACATGGTTGCTATCTTGTGTCGTAGAGTCGAAAACTAAAGTGCTAAAACAATTTTTTAAAATAATTCACTCAGTTTTGTCACATGAAGCATACATTTTTAATTTTCTATTTTCTTCAGTACAAGAAATTGGTGATGAAAGTAAAAGTTTTCGATACCAATTTTTTGTATTGTTTTCAATGAAAAGTCATGTGACCTTTTAAGGATTATGTCATGTATAGCTTCCCATAGGTAGAAATTGGAAATGTTTATACACTAAAAATTTTATTTTTAATTTTTAAAAAATTTTTGGATACAAACGATTATTATGAGCTTATCAATTTTTGATTTGTAAATGTACTTTTCACTTAACAATATCACCAAATATCACTTAAGCAATGCAGAATTTTAAACAAATTTTAATATTATAACTTATTTAATTAAAATTTTAAAAAAATGAAAACAATTCTTGTAAAAATTAATTTTTCATCAAAAAAATTTTCTTCTTAAGACAATAGTGTCCTTAATAAATCTTATTTATCAAAGTAATTAAAAGCTTTGCTAATTAAATAATGTCATGGTTTTATTGCATTTTTTATTTTATAATTCAGAGTAGATTTTTGGTGAAAAGTGTAACTGTTTTAGTAAAATTGATGATTTACTTTCTCCAAGGAGTCCTGCTTTTAACTAATAAAAAAAAAAATCCCTGTCCTAAAAATTTAATTTTATGAAATTAAGTGGGTTATGTTTTACATATGTAAAAAAAAAAAAAAAAAATTCCAAAAAATTTAATTCATTTCTGAATATGTCTTGAAAGTTTCATTAAAATCTGATAATTATTTAATTTTTGCAAGAATTTCCAAATCTATGTGTTTTTCACTGGAAAAAGTGCAAAAAAAAAAAAAAATAACCTTTATCGTTACGTTGACTGCTGGTGTAAACAAAACATGGTTTTTAACCAAAATTTCAAATGTGCTAGAAAAGGATTAAAAAATTTAAAAAAATAATAAAAAAAATACTTTGGTCTTTCCTCTTAATAATAACATAAACATTTTGATGACAAAACTTTGCTTTTATTGAATTTGGGGCCTTTTTTCATCATGCTAAGTTGTTTTTTCCACAGAAAGAAGTGGAGGTACCTATTATACAGTAAAATTTTCAAATCAAAATTCAATTTCTGTGTCAAGCTATAGACTTATTAATCCACCTTTGCATATATATATATATATATATATAAATAAAACAAAAGTTGTGATGTTTTATTTTCCCTTTTTTTGATCTAGAAAACCCTTGACCTTTGACCAGATTAAAAGAAATTTGAACAAGGTAAGAGAATGTCTTTTAATGACTGGACCTTATTTGATTGTCATTTTGTGACTATTTTGATTTTGGTGATTGATTTATGAATCGATATACATTTATCTAGTATTTTTAATTTCCTTCTTTTAAATTACAATTATTGCTTATTTGGAATTGACTCAAATTGTTAAAATAGGTTTCAAGTCAGTGAAACAAAAGTTGCATAAGTGTAACCTTTCACCCCTGCCACCAACCATTAGGGCTTCTTGTGATGTGATATTTTGTTCAACCAAACTCTTGGTCACTGACCCATACTGGGATTGCTAGTAGTGGTTCTGGTGGATTCAAATGGAGATTGAAACAAAATGCTTCATGCTGTGTCCTGATTTATCAAATGATATAGTTTCTCAGTTTCAATCAGTGGAATTCAGGTTGAGTGAATATTACATACATAATAATACTTGGGATTTCCTTTGAGAAACAAAACTGCTGTATTTAACATTAAATTTCCAAAAACAATTTTATTTGCAATATCTACATTTAGTGTTAACAAATCCACTGAAAATATTAGTAAGCCTCATGAAATCTTTGGGCAAATATATTTCTAGTAGTCCTGGGAAATTGATTTCTTATGGGAGAGGGAGAGACAAATTGTTTCTGCTTTACATTTGTTAATTTCTGCTAAGTAGATAACTGTGTATGTGCGTGTTTGAATTGTCCTTGTTCATTCAAGAATTGATTGTATGACTCCAACCAGTGGTTGCAATAGAACTATAATCTGCCATTCATGTGATCAATCTAAAAAAAAACGTCAGTTACTTTCCTTAGTTATTTACTCATATGTCAACAAGATGGTGAAATAAATCAAATGAAATTTGTTGGCTCTAAATACATCTATTGTTTGAAAACTAGGTACTCAATTGTTGACTGCTAAGATTTTTGTTTGTAAAATTTTCTGGCCAAGTTATTACATAAGGAAGTAAGAATTTGGGGTGAATAATCTTTAAAATAAATATACTTTGCAGCCTTTGGATAACTTCCAGTGACAAAAATTGAAGTTAAATTCATCTGTCCTGATAAACCACTCAGGCAAGTGGAAGTGTGAAGTGGAAGCAGTCAGAGATTTATTTTAGACATACCATTGTGAATGGTTTGATATGTCTTACTATGTTATTGACATTTTTAATGTTGCTGTGGCTTTCCATCCATCAATTTCATTTATTAATTTTTTTTTTTATTTTTATTTTATTTTTTTTGCAGCAATTTATCCCACTCAGATTTAATTGACTAGTTTTCCTTTAATTTTCTCTTGGCCTCATATCCAAAAATAGGATCTCACATCACTTATTACTTAATTCATTGGGCAGGGGTTACATGCCTCAACAGGTGGTCGATCCCCTCCAACCTGCTACATGGACTTGTTTAGTTTTCAAAATTAAAACCTTTCTTTTCATTTTTCTTATAATTAAGATATATTTTTCTATTTTATTAGTCAATGGCAACTATTAAAGTAGCTAAAAATATTGATTCTTACACATGTCACAGAATTGAAAATTGTAACCTAAGGGAGTTTTATATTCATGCACAGTTTTTTATAAATTTTAAGATGTTGATCTTTTCTTCAAAATCTCAATCTTTAAAGTTTACTTCTAAAGCAAAATGTGAAACTGGATTTCATTTATATATAATAAATTATGTTTTTATGGTAAGGCTTCAGGATTTCTGAATTGAACTGCACACTCATCCAAATTAATATTACATTCACTTGTTCTAGATATGATGTTAGTTAAAATAAAAACTGCAAGCCATTTTTAAGAAAACATTTACTGATAACAATTTCTTATGTTCTTTATGAGATTGATTTCTTTTTCTACAGGGATGCTATGCACGGGTTGATCGCTTCCAAGAAGACATGTTTAAAGTATTTGAGCGAGCACGGCAGTTAAGCAGAATAGATTCACAAGTAAGTATATTCTAAAAGGTTTTGTTTTCAAATAAGTAAATTTAAGATATCATCCAAACTGCATATGTGCAGATTCTGGTGTCTGCATTGGATTATAATTTGGAAGTTGTTAGAGTGACAGTAACAAGGAATATTAATATCAAAAGCTCAGTATGAGCATGCCAACTTCATAAAGCCCTTTTTGTAAAGGTTAGTCATTTAAAATATCAAATTTTGCAATTTGTAAATGAACCTATTAATAAGCCTTAATCTTTTTCTAGGCCAATATACTGTACTCAGATGAGACAAAACTAGAATTTGTTTTGTAGACATCAAGGTGGGGCCTTCAATATAGAATACTGAAAGTAAAGAAATTCCAAAGAATACTGTGCCTACAACAAAACATGGAGAAGGGATTATCATACTTTGAGAGTGTTTCTATGCAAAAAGAACATGAATCATGGTAAGGGTAAACAGTATAATGATATATAATGATCTGTAGCAAAGGAGTCAAATTCAAGAGTGTAAGGGACGCAACTCTTTCCGTCAGAAAATGTCTGACATGATGCACCACAAAGCAATGTACACCAAACACGGGTGTAATGCCCCTCTGCCAATTTCTCCAAGCGACCTGCTTTTATGGAGCCCAGACACACTTCATTAGCATGCGTGTAACGCGACTTTGCATGACTGCACGAGACCATGAATATTAAAAAGATCAAAAACATATTTTGAAATTAGTCCAGAAATAACTTGTGAATTATATTCTAAAAAGGTTTTACCTTGGCCTTTAGTGACTTCTGACCTGAATCCAATTGAGAACTTATAGGATGAATTGAAAAAAAAAATATGCAAGAAAAACCAATCAATCTGCAACAATTTGAAGATTAAGCACATGAAATAGGCAAAACATTTCTGTAGATATTTGTGATAATTTAGTAAAAGGTTATTGTAAAACATTAGAAAAAGTTATTGCTGAAAAAGGATTTTTAATTGACTTAATTTTCTTAATTAATTCTCATTAATATATATGTATATAAATTTTTTTCTTTTGTTTAGCCACTTATGCAGGTACTTGTTGATACACTGCTGCATCTACTGAATGCATGACAGAGTAATAACATACACCTGCAATGGCCACAGATGCCAGGGCAGCAAACCATATTGGTAGCACCAAACCTTTAGTTTGCTGGAGAGATGGATTCAAGTCTATCTAGTGCCACTTTCTGCACCTCTTTACCTCATTGCCGATCAGTCAATGGAATTTCATACAGCCGTCTGAAGCTCTTTACTGGCTTCTCTTTGACTGTTGGGATCATGTGACCATCCCAATGTCGAAGTGAATCTTCCTAACATTTTCATTCTCACCCACGTGAAGAGCTTATGGTAATGCTGCAGCATTTCATCGCCACCAACCTTTGATGGGGACCAGAATGGTGATATCCTTCATGAATGCTCTGGAAGGAGGAACGACCATTTGTTCCTTAGTCATCACTCTCTTTGCTGTGTTCGCTGCACCCTATGATATGGGTTCCATGGACTTAATGAAAAGTGATGAAATCACACACCCCACTTGGTGGTGTAGTTATCAATGGTGAACTGCATAAACACTGCTCTAAAATATTTCATTACCATTTCCCCAAACTTACTAGGAAATTGAAAAATTCAAGGGATATTTGAATTAACTCATGAGGAACTGATGCATACGCATTCACAAGATCAAGCCAAATTACATGAAGCTCAGTTTTATTTTGTTTGGTTGATAGGATCAAGTTCCAAATCATGTGTGAATGCTTCAGATAGTTGGGGAAGCTAGGTATCCCAGCCTTCCGGACAGTTGTGTTTATATAATGGTTACCACCTAGCGGGAAGTCCATCATATAATGAGCAAGGACCCCCCCCAATATTTTCCCCTCTACATTCAAGAGGTAGATAAGGGAGAAATTTGCAATGCCTTTTGCATTCTTTACCTTAGGTATCCAAATGCCAGGCATCATGTGGTACAATACTTGTTTCCATGCCCGCTGGAGGAGGATGGTGAGTTACTTGAGGATATTTGCACAATTCCTATATAACTTGTAGGATATTCTATTTGCAGATGAATTCCTGAATTTCCCTCAGGTTTAGTCCATGATCTCTGGTCATTCCTAGGAGGGATTAAAACATCTTTCCAAGCATCAGAATATGTCATCCTCAGGTGATTCTTGAGTTCCTCCTGTGGTACATCAAGTCTGCCACTCTTAGTCATGGTGAACAGATTTTTAGCAAAAGTGTAAGGATTATTGTAAAATGATCTAGACTTAATAAAGATTAACAGTGTTCAATCATAATATTTTTTCAAATATTTTCGCTTTCTGTGACATATTGAATGATATAGAATGAGGGAGTTATGTTGTGTTGAATTGGGTCTTCATGAGTGAGCTGATAGTCTTGCATATTTGATGACTCAACTACTGTAGGCATCTGGTTTGTGTTGTTAATTATCATGTCTTGGTACTTTGCTAGATTTTGATAGCCCACCTCATTGAACTGGAATACATCTTCCTGTGGTAATTTTCTGTTAGAGTCATGGTTTCTTTTGCTTCAGCTTCATATATAATACAGACCTATTCCGTCCAGATTGGCATCAAATTGTATGGTTTGAACTGATTTAAATATGTGTATGTTGCCTGATCAATATCGTTCCCAGTTCAGATAGCCATGTAAAGCAATCATTTAAGATCTGCTCCTGGTCATGGAATGTCTGTTTGGATGGCGTCTCATTTGTGCTTGTACAGAGAATGCTTCTGATATAATAAAGAGCCTTCAAACATCATTCAAGCAAACGTCAGGCAAATACTCCATTCTTCAGCTTCACATAAATTCTGTGAAAGTAGTTGCCTCTAATATGTGTTTATACGCAGCAGCAGTCACATAGTTAAGATATTCATTTTATCTGGATTCTTGCAGCTAGAAAGTTAATAAAAACTTTATACCAGTTTCCCACTTGCTTATTTGCATTACTTATATTCAAATCAACATGCAAATGATTTGCTTTCAGACATCTGTCCATGTTCATGAAAAGCAGCCAGATAAAGTAGAATAAAGAAAAATAGATAAATTGTTAAGCATACAAATCTGAGTGAAAGTATTTTATCTTTATTCTTTTGACAGAGATGAACATTTTTACAAAGTGTAAAAGAAAGGACATATGTAATATAGTTTTTCTTTTCTTTTCTTTGTCAACAACACACTAGCAATAACAGCAATGTTGTTGTAATCTAATTAGTAATAGTAACAATAGTAGTAGTAGTAGTATCCCTAACAACAGTTTCATGAATGACAGATTTGCAGTACATTCATAATTTGGGATTGTTTTTTTCTTAATCTTGGTTTTGCAGCTGTATGAAGATGCAGTCGAAATGCAGTTATTCTTCATCAAGATCCGTGATGAATTGTGCAAAAATGGTGAAATATTATTGACGCCAGCACTGAGTTACACAGAAAAGCATTTGCAATCAGCACTGGAAGCTGAGAAACGAGAAAAACTACCCAAAGAACAGCAAGATGATGAGAAGAAAAAAGCACAAGACACGGATGAGAAGATGTCCTCTGTCGTTGTAAGTCTTTCAGGAAAATATAAATATCATTTGAGGAGGCTGAAACCATATATAAAAGATATTTTATTGTAGATAATTCATTGCAAGTGGAATGAAGCATCTTGTAGATTTTAATTATTTGTTCTTTTTTCATCATGCTTATAAATATTAAATTCAAGCTTGTTGATAAATGTTGCAATTCATTTGATTCTTAAATAATTAGGCTTTATGAAACAATCTGATAAATGCTACCTGAAAATAAAAAAATCTGTCATTGCGAAATAAATGTTTTGTAAAGATTAAAACTTTATTTTGGCACTTAATATTTGTCTGATTAGCATGTGTTTGAAAATTAAAATCTGCAACAATGATGTAAACAATTTTAGATATATTTTTACTCAATGATAGCCTTTAAATTTTAATGTAATATATTTCTCTTTGTTTTGTTGTGGAATGATGATCTTGTTTTTCTTTGTTATTAGGAAGCAGGAACAGAACGCAGTATGAAATACAGGGACCAAGTCTACAATATTGGAGACTTCGTGTATGTAGAGCCAAGGTAAGTAGGAGTTTTTTTTTTTAAATTTTCTCTAAGTATAATACAATTACACTGATTTTTATTTGTCCCTTCCCACACCCTGCCACTTTATTGACTGGGGTAGGTAGGAAACTGATTCCAATCATGTTCTCAGTTTCTATTGATTTTCATTGGTAAAACTTGTCTACGGTGAAAAGTAAAGTTTATGTTGTCTGAAAATATCACATTGTAAAAAGATTATTAACTCAGAACTTGCAATCCTTATGGCTATTTTTTTGTTCACCTGAAGTCATATAATACTTTCTATACATATCTACATATTTTTCTATATTATTCTTAAAATCTGATTTCTATTTCATTAGAAAGCACATGTCATCATCAGCATTTGTTATTGTTCTAAACTTCTTAACAGGTGGGAGTGTATGGATGTCATATTAATTGTCTGTTTATAAAAAGAGCATTTTAACTGAGTTTGATGATTTTTTTTGCTTAGATGCTAGGGTGGTTTTGGTTTCACATGATCTGCACTTGATAGCTTCTGGTCAAGGGTCTTCTATATAGGATAAATAGAGAAGTGGCAGCATTATTAATTTTGTATTTATACATTTTATCTATTTATCTTACTTTGTTTTTTTTTTTTAAATTTTCCTAGGGAGAAAGGATTAGAAGCCCATGTGATGTGCATTGAGAAGTTGTTCCATGATAACACTGGTTCTCCTGCTCTCCATGGCAACTGGTTTTATAGACCAAATGAAACTTTTCATTTGGCCACTAGAAAATTCCTTGAAAAGGTAAGTTTGGAAAAGAAAATCCGTAATTAAATTCTGGTCTTGCATTTTACATGATCAGAATCAAAAAAGTATGTCAATAATATGAAGAGTTAAAATTTTATTTACAGGAAGTATTTAAGAGTGATTTCTCCACAACCATTCCATTATCCCAGGTGATGGGGCCAAAATGTTACGTAATGTTTGTCAAAGATTACTTCAAAATGAAACCAGAGGTATGAAAACATTTATTTTATTTTATTTTGATGTTTGTTGACTTTTTGAAATTGTTGCAAGCTCAAGAAGAATAAAAGTTGGAACAGACTCAGATTTACAGTTGTATAACCTTGATTACTCTTCTAAAGTGAATAGATTAGAAAAAAAAGTAATATCATACAAATCACTTTTAAAATACAGGCATCAATACATTAGCAAAGAATTAACAAGTATGCCCCTGGGCCATTAAACAACAACAACAAAAAAAAAAAAAAATGAATGACTACATTCAAGTGAAAGTGTTACAATTTTTTTGTCTATGCTAAGTTAGGGTTTTATTGAGTCATTTACCTTTTATCTTTTTTTTTTTCCTTTTAAATATCAGAATAAATTCATCAGAGAAATTGATTTTGAAACTTATTTAAATGAAGAATTATTATAATTTTTGAATTATTTTATGGTTTGTTATTCTGCTAATTTGAACCTCATTCTAGGGCTTTGCTGATAAAGATGTGTATGTGTGTGAATCTCGTTACAATGCCAGGCATAAAGCTTTCAAGAAAATCAAGGTCAGTAAAATTTCAATCCTGCTTTCTGCAGTTCCTTTTTGGATTTCCTTATGGCTTTTACTACATTTTCTTTTTTCCCGCCACCAGTTATCATGACTTATTCCATTCATGCCTTGTATGTTCATCCTTTTAGGTTTGGCAAGTCCCTCCTAATGATACTGTTAAACTCACTCCTCGTGATCAAGTGCTGTCACCTGTGCGTGTGGCCTCAGTTTTTGCTGACAAAACCAAAGAAAATGAGAAAGAGGACCTAGATGATGGTGTCTATCGCCTTTTAGACAAAACTAGAGAGGTAAGTGTGTCCAGTTCTTGTTAAAAATAAAAAAATAAATAAATGTCAAGTGAAGAATTTTTTTTAATATTTTTTTTCTACTAATGAAATTGGAATATTTTTTGTTTTTCTGGTTCTAATGCAAATATTAATATATTGAAATTGAAGAACATCATGAGGAATAAATATTTCAATTTTCAGTGCATAGTCTTGGAGCTCATGTAAAGATTTTGTTAAGGTGACCAGACAGGCTACAACTCTTTGTTCTTAGTTTGCAATGGAAATTCACTGGCTTATTAATTGGTTGACTGTAGTTAGTTAACTACAGGCCCACAATGATGAGCCACTGCAAAACTATCAAATTTGCTAGTGAAGATTCTTCAACCAATTCTGTAATCTTTCAAGAGATTGAAAATAAAAGGTGGAGATGTGAAAATAAAATTTCTAATTTTTAATTCCAACTAAATGTGGATGTTATGCAATTTGAATATGCCTTTCTTATTACATTTTTCTATTGTGTGCGGTATCCAATGCAAACTTCTAGATTTTAAATGTCAATGTATTTCTATTCTCTGAAAATGATGCTTGCTCTCTTTCAGAATGTTGAGGTGGAAGTATCTAGTCAAGAATATGCTGGAAACAAATATTATGAACAGTACAACAGTGCCAGTGGCTGCTTTAAATTAGGTGAAAAAGATTATTTTTCTGAAGGTTCTTTTAAAAGTACTAATTTTAAAGCCTTTACTTGCAACTCTATCAGTTGGTGATCCAAAGATATTTTTGTAGAACAATATTTGGGAATTACCATTCATGAATTAGTTCATGTGAGGAACTTTTACTTATTGTTGATATTAATTTCCTTTTAACTTTTCTAAGAAATAAATAATAATAATATGTTTGCCATTTATAGATAGTACAATAATCCCCATCATCATTTACCAGATCTTTAAACAGTAATCTTGATGTGCTTGGAATTAAGTCCCATGTTCTAGTCCTGTAGAAATTGGCATTACTAGAAACTGGCAACATCCTTTGAAGGATGCTCTCTGTCTGAGGTCAAAACAATTTCATGGGGAACACCAATAATGTAACCTATCGAGTATAATTTAATACTGTACAAAGTCAGGAATAATAAGATTGATTATTTTACTGCAAGAAAAACATTAAAAAAAAGTCTCGTTATTTTTTTACAAATTCCTCATGAAAAGTTGAGGTTGTAAAACTGCCTTAGTTTTCTGAAATGTCAAACAACCCACCAACTTCTGTTTCTTTTGTTGTAGGTGATTGTGTTTATATCAAGTCTACAGAAGAGAAACCCTTCATTGCTCGGATAGATAAAATATGGCTGACTGCAGAGTAAGTAATCATCTTCCAGTATAATATTTTGTTCTTCTCTTCAATTGGACTTTGCAAAAAATATTCAACTGTTGGTGACACTTTGGAGTTAGTGCAATAATTTTAGCTGCTTATTTAACACCACATTTTTATTTTGGTAATTACTTTGTACGAATCTGGAAATTTTCATAATTATTTCTGTTCTATTATTTGTCTGATATATTTTTTTTTATCAAATATTCTCTTTGCAAGATTTTTTTTTAAGTTAATATGCAATAAGTATTAACATTCCATTGTTAAAGTGCAGTGTGCCCACATTCCCCAGCCCTTGTTTTTGGCTAAAGTTTGTTGTAATTTTTGTGTCTTTCAGGGGAAACACTTTCTTCTACGGTCCCCTATTTGTTAGACCATCTGATGTGGAACACTCTCCTACACGCATGTTCTATTGTCGTGAAGTTTTCTACAGCTGCAAGGAGACCTCCTTCCCTGCTATGACTGTCATTGGCAGATGTGCTGTTTTGCACATTAAAGATTACTGTTCATGTAAGCTGATATTTTTTTTCTTTTTTCATTTCATAACTGCTCTTTTATGTAAACCATTTATTTAAATATTGATTAAATTTTACATTGGTCATTTCTCCAAATCCAGTCACTGGTTCCTTTGTTGGCATTTGTTTACATATTTAATAGGTTTATACATCTATAATAATAAATACCAGTAGGAAAAATTGTTGTGAAATACATTTTTAAAGTTTTATCTTTCAAATATTCTCTGTAATTAACAGTTGATTTTGAGATAACAATTTAGTTTCAAACAAATAGTTTTTTTCTGATCTAAATGTCAATGTTTTTTTTTTCTCATTCTTCAAAACGTACTTGTAAAGTTTACATTTATATTATTTCAGATCGTATCACAGAGGTGCCTGAAGATGATGTTTACATCTGTGAATCAAAATATCTTGAGAATGAAAGAAGTATCCGAAAGCTTGCCAAAGGATTAAAGGTAACTTTCCAGTTGTCGCTTCATTTGACTATCATCATCATATTAATGCCAGTTATGAAATATTTTAGAGCCATTTTTTCTTTGCTTTCCATTCACTTGTTGGGTTGTTTTTTATTAATTGTAGAAATATTCCCTGTCTCCCAAAGTCACTGATGATGAATTGTACTTTTTCAAGAAGCATATTGTCCCTCAAAAGGTATGTTGTATAACATTTTCTATTTTGATTTCTTTCTTTCAATCTCATAATGAATATTATTTGAGTCATGTGTAGATTTAAGTGTATCTTACAGTGAAATGAGTGTGGGACATAATAAAAAGTCAGAACATTTTGTTGGTAAAATGGTTTTTAAAGTAAGTGTTCAAGTATTTTTGAATTCTGCATGCTCATTGGTCATTTTGAATGTCAAGTCTATTGGATTTTTAAAATGTTATACAGAAAATGTTATTTTTCCAGTAACTCAATAAAATTATTCTGGTTGGAGATTTGCCTTACTATTAAACCATCTCTTCTTAAATGTAATAACCTGAAAGATTTACAATATATATATATATATATATATATATATATATATATATATATATATATATATATATATTATTGAGTTTAGCCTTGGTACATGTTTAAGTCTTTTTTTTTTTTTATTTTTATAATTACTTTTCATTATAAAATCCATACAAACTAGGATTATAATATTAAAAAATTGAAATGCGTTAACAAAAGAGCTAGTTTGAAACCTCTAATAATATTAAGTATTTGTTAGTCTGTTTTCTAAGGTAGGGAACCTTAACACAAATGTATTCTGCTTTGTATTTTATTATTGATTTTTACTCAAAAGAAAAACTTCCCTCTTACAACATTTATCTATTTTGTTTGCTTGACTCTCTCTTTAACACATTCATTTCATTTTCTAAGTGACAAATAAAAACTCTCCATACATTTTGTTTAAATATTGATATTTTTGCTAAAAACCAAACTTAAAATGAAAAAAAAAACAGCAATTTGTTAGTTCTTTGGCTTATTAAAAAGTTTGCAATCATATCTTGTGTTGTTTCACCTTAGCAAATTGTTTTTATTTCTTGAAGGAGCCCTCACCATTACTTCCGGAAGCTGTTGATATGGAAGATATTGAAGATGAAGAGAAGATGGATTATCCCCTTGTGACGACTCCTAACAAGAACCTGAATGTATCTTATGAGGAGACGCCCTTGCCTGAGAAATCCGGTAAAAAAGATGGCACAACAGGATCAAGAAAGACAAATGTAAGGCTTGCTCCTACTTTCTGTTGAAATATTTTTCAATTGAATCTGAAACAAGTCATTTGGTTGACAAATTTATTTTATGAAATGACTCATTTAATCGGGTCTGCACTAAATTTTGTTTTCTCTTTCTTATTGCAATTTTTGTATTTCACAGTTGTTGAGAAATAAAGACATTTGTGATTACACATTAAAGGGAAAATTGTGTAGGATTCTATCTGTTTCAGATTTGTAGATAATTAATAATTAAATTTTTTTTTTTTTTTTTTTTTTTTAATATTATTTCAATTTTGATTGCTTGCTAAGCCAAATATTACAATTACTTAAGCATGTATTCTTTTTGATTGGCTGCATTTCTTCTAGGTTCAGAAATTCTGTAGTGAATAACTAATAAAAAATATTAATTGATTGCTCTCTTTATTCTTGGTTTTGGTAAAATATGAAAAGGATAGACTATCATTTTCAGACATGAATGCTTTCTAATAAACATGGACAGAGGAGGAAAAATGCAATGTTTGAGAACATTCTGAAATATTTTGGTATAGAATAGAAATTCTGTTGTCATTATGCAAATGAGATATCTTTTCTTTACTCACAATAATTTGTGACACTTCCTTTTCAAATCTAGGAAAAGAAAATGTCTTAGAATTCTTTGATGTTTTCATGGTATTAGAGAGCTGTCATTTAGTCAGGGTAGATTTTTTCCTGTTGTCTATTTTATTGAACTGATAAAGGCACCACCAAGTAACTTTTCATGAAAGATCCACAATGGTATCTGAGGCAGTCAACCTGCTTGTGTCTGCAATTATAAATAAGCATATAGGGAATTGAAAAACAGGGAAGTAGAGATAGATGTTCTAAAAATTGGATTTGTGGGGAAATAGGTTTTTTTTCTGCACATTTAAGTGTTTTTTTTTCTTTTTTTTTATTTTGCATCTAATGAAAAATGGATTCTTAAATAAGTTGACTTACTTAAATATTGCATTTTTCTCTTAAATATTAAGAACATTTTTATTTTATGGCTTGAAGCATAAGGCTCTCTAGTATTTTATAAAATTTAATTATGTTCCTAAAAGTGAAGAGATCAGTTTATTTTCTTGCATTCGCTCCTTTTTTAAAGTGCTGATAAAATTAAATTGATAATTTTTTTTTTTTGGTCATTTGCAGCCTAAAAGTGCCAATAATATTCGAAGACAGCCAAGTGGTTATATTGTGTTTGCGGGAGAAATCCGTAAACAGATTCAACAGGAAAATCCAGATTGTTCATTTGGGGACATTAGCCGAATTGTTGGCACCAAGGTAAATAGCATTTGCATTACTTTTTCAATGTAGTAGGAATGGCTCATTTGGTAGCTATTTTTAGATTTATGCTGCTAGTAAGATCTTGGTTTTATTCTTGATTTTTGAAAATAGTTTGTTTTTCTTTTTTTATTGTTATAGAAATAAACTTTATAGATTCAAACTTAATAAACAACAGTGAGAAAAGTTATGAATATGAAAGGAAACTGTGAACTAATAAGATTCACTATTGCTGAAGTCTACGTGTTTTACATATATTACCACCATCACCACCTTATTTATCGACGTTTAAAATACAAAAAAAAGAAGAAAAGAAAAAAAGCAAGTTTTTTTTTTTTAAAGAAAAGTATTAATGATCCTAGTGGCATTTGTTTGTCTACCAATTCAGCTATGTACCTACCTTTTTGTTTTGTTCCCTTTGCCCCCCTCCTTCTCAATATGTGTGTATTTTCTTCAAAGTTCTTTCTCTTTGATATATTTCTCTGTTAGTGGCGTAATTTAAGTAAAGAGGAAAAGGAACGTTTTGAAGAGAAAGCCAAAAAAATAGCTGAAGAACAGGCTGCAAAACAGGAAGCTGCTGAGAAAGCGTTCAATGATTCTTTGAACAATCCTCAAAGTCCTTGGTCTGATTACAGCCGAAGTATGTCTCCAGCTGCTGGCCCTCCTGGCACCAATGGTCAGCCATTGCCAGGTAAGTGCTTATTTCCTCTTTGTCATATTTTTCAACAGGGATTTCTCTCTCTAACTCTGCAGACATTTAAAAAAAAAATATTCATGCAAAGTACAGCTTTCTTCAATAAGGCTTTCTTGTTGAATGCTACTGCTGTTAGGATTAGGAAATCAGTTTTTTATTTACCAAATCACATAAAGCTTTTAAAAATAATATTCTTACTTAGCGTTTAGACCTTATTAAAATTAACATTGAAAATGTTTCTGAATTGTGTTTGTTTTGATGAAACAAATGTTTTTAACTATGGAAATTTTCTTGCAGGCAGTGTTTTCCATTTTATTTTTAATTGAATACAAATATGTATTTTTTAAAAATAAAATACAGACTTTATTGTGTCAACTCAATTCTTTTTCACTTTTACATTCTTCCATAATGTGAGTTTATTCTCCCAAATCAAAGCCAACCATTGAAAGTTATTTTTTAATATATAATTGAAGTTAAAACTATTTTCTATGAAAGCATTTCAAGTAACAAATGAACTGTGTATTTGTTTATCCTTTTTACTGTTTCAATTTTATAAAGAAGAAAGATTTTTGTTATTAGCAAGAATTAAAGTTAATTGTTCTTGAAAAATGACATTTCTGTTCCAATTGTTGGTTTGAGTGGGCAAAGTGCCTATTTGATATTAGAAACCCAGTTTTCACTTCATAAAAATAATTGACATGCACACATGTTCAGCTTGTAAGTATCAAAATGTTATAGTTTTTTATTTGCTTTTTTGTTTTTCAAATTTAAAATATTAAAACTGATTCTAACCTTGCTTATTTGCTTAATCTTTACAGCAATTAGATAAATTGAATCTTCTTGATTTGTGCCTTTCAGATATTTGCAAACAGAAAGAAAAATCATATTTCATTCTAATTGTGACTTTGCTTTCACCTTTTATTCATTTGATTGTTTTTGTTTTCTTTTGAATTATTCTACTTAACAGGCAATTTCCAGAACCAGTTTGGATTTCAAGCTTATCCAGGTCAGCATCTCTCCTCAGCAAACTTCTTTTTACCCTGCCCTTCTTTCCTCACCCTAACAGTCTTTTTTTTCGCTCATATATTTTCTTCACTTATTCTCTTTAGATGATGACAGCAGTTCACTGCTATTCTCTCATTCAGCTCACCTAATCTCCATGTAGCCTTTGATCTGCACATCACCTGTTCTTGCCATTGCTGTTTGGTTGCTGCTCAACTGCTTCAAGAATTCAGCTACTAATTCCTTTCACTTGGACTTTCAAACAAGTGTGGTCAGCTGTTAGATATCAGTCAAAGCTATAAAATATTGCATTTACAAGTGACTCTTGTTTGTTCCTTTGATTAACAAACTCTCTTGTTAGGTTCACTTGTTTGCTTCATTTGTTGGAAGGCCAAGCTGAATACGTGTTTTTATTTAAAACTATGTTTTCCTCAAAGAAATTTCCAAGTTTGATTGGAATTATTGTGACAGTTTATTGCTGTGGACAAACTGTTCTGTTAGAAGCAACAACTTCTATAACTGGAGAAATGGTTACCCCTAATCCTCAATAGCAAATTCAAATGTGGAAATGCTGTATCTTTTTTTTTTCCATTTCATTTTCTACAAATAACCTTTAGCATTTGGCTTGTCTGTAAGTCACATGCTTTTCAACTTGTGATGTTAGATCAATGCTTTACTGAAATTGTAACTCTACATTCTGTTCTTTTTGGTTTGCTGTCACTCATACTAATGATACTAATGAGCCTTTTTATTATCAATACTTCCCTTTCTGTCTACTAATACTGCTACTAACTCACCTATGAATGTTCTTTTTCTTTAGTTGTTGTTAACCCTTTGCTTGCTGAACCTTTTCAAGATAACAGATAAACATGATTCTTCTCAAAGTACACATCTTTGGAGCCAACTGTGTCATTTATTTTGAAAATAGTGAAATCTTTAAAATTACTATTTCTTTTACTCTTGTATTATTGTGCAAAGGGTTGATAAACTATAAAGCTGTCATTTCAAAGCATGTGTTTATTAATTGCTTTCCACAGGATCTGATTGTTATTGTATGAATGAGAAAATTACAACCCTCCACACACACACCCACACCAAAAAAAAAAAATTGCAGTTCATTATAAAAAAAAAAAAAAAAAAAAAAAAAAAATCTTGCTTTATTGACCATTTAGATTTGGTATATATTCTGGAGCATAGGTGTTTTATGGAAAAAATACCTAGCACATTTGGAGAAAACCCTGTTAAAAGAGTTATATATATATATATAATCTAAGTTGACCAAATCGAAGAAGTAACATCCATTGGCATGAATGGTTGGTTCTGTTTTGATGCTGATCAGGTTTTATTTTCTATCTCTCTCTTTTATTTTATTTTTTTTTTCATTGATTATCCAATGCAGCTAAATATGCTGGGAAGAGTATTTTTCATTTCTTATTAAAAATGATTTACTTTTTCAGAATTTAGAATGAGTGACAGTGTTTGTGCTTAGTACTTGTCATTCCAATTGATGATTTCATTTTATGCTGCTTTCTACATAACTAAGTTGATGTATATTTTCAGAAACTTCTTTCTTATCTTTTGTTTCGTTGCACTTCTGCTCACTTTTAGTGTCAGGAGGAAGAGGAAGTTCTCAGACTGTTCACGCAGCTTGATTCATTGTTTATTTAGCCAGCCAGCCTGCCTGCCTGCGTGCCTGCCTCTTCAATAAAGATTGTGAAGTTTGGCTGAGAGGACCATTTAAATGCATTTCACTTTATTTTAGGATGAGTATATAATCTAAATATTAAACCTATTATAGCCTGTGCTTAACTTTGGTCTATTTATCTGATGATTTGCATTGCAATTATTCAAGGCTTAAGTTCTATACATTGTTATTATTATTATTAGCAACACTTTTAATTTCAGAAGATGGCTAGTGCTGACATCTGCTCTACTTGTTTTCAGTTATAAATAAAGAAATGCTCACTTGTTACTTGGGTGAGGCATACTGCTGGCATCTCAGGATCTCTACAGAGTTAAGATTGGGGCAAAAATATTAAATCACCTCTCTTTGCTACTCCAGTTGCTTTGCAAAGCTCTTTGTAATTAATTCATTCCTAGTGGACCTAGTGACTATCAGTCCAAATTTAACCTTTCTACACATTGATCTTGCTGCTGCTGCTGCTACTGTGTAATTTTTGCGTGTGTCTGCTTGTGTTGTCGATGACAGTCATCACTTTAATATTGACTGCCTTGCTTTTGCTACCTTCTAATCACCTTTTCATCCTTTACCTGCTTAGCATGCATATATATATATATATATATATATGCTTCTCTATTTTTGTTTAACTTGATTTGCTTTGTGTATCGAATGCTGCACTTCATTTACTTTGCACCAATCCACCCATTCCTTCAGAATCAAATGACACTTGTACCTCACAAATGCTAACATTATCATAGTTGATTTGAAGTGGTATGTTATTGCAAACCTCAACTCTCTGCTGAATGCAGTGTCAGTATCACTGCAGACATCATCTCTTTCATCCAGATTAACTTTGAACATAAATCTTTTTTTTTCTGTTTTGTTAATCTTCTATTATGTGTTGAGGAGCAAAATGTTGCATGTGAAATATTTACTGAGAAGCACTGACATTTTAATCTGATTATTAAATTACTTATCTTAGTCATTTAATTGTCTGCTGCTCTTATCTTCTCAGATCTGTACAATCTGTTTTTGTTTTTAAGCTTTCTTTAAGTATTTTTCCTGACAGAAATAACTATTTGTGACCTTTGGTTGAAAGAACAGACTTGATATTTTCCTCTTATAAATTATTATTTTTAAGATTTTGTTACAATAATTTTTAAATTTAATGGTACTTGAAAGAAAAAAACTGTGTGATAGGAAAATTGTAACAATGCAAAAAATTTCCACTAGCTAACTGACTATATAAATTATATAAATTTATTTTGTGTTGTTCTTACAACTAAGAAAACTCAGATATACATTGTTTTATTTTATTCTTTAAGAATAAATTCAGAATTAGGCCCTTTGGCAATTACTTGTAAGCATGAAAAAAATAAACTGTATGTTTTTTTTTAAGTTGTTATAAGTAGAAACTATAGACTTATTTTCTCTGATTCCCCCAGGAACAGCCTATTGCAGGTAATTTTCCTTAAAATTAATAAGCAGTATCTAAATGATAAATAGGAGATTTGTCCTCAGTTAACAACTGTATATACTTCCTTCATCTCCAGTGGACACATTGCACTTTTAGACTTAACTGGAGACATTCTTTCAGGACGCATACATAAACACACCATTACTTGAATTGTATTTTCATATTCATTTTGCCTTCTAGCTCTTTTTAGGCAGATGCAGTAATTTGGACAAGTCATATCATTTAGAATGGCATGAAACCAATAAAAATTAAATCTGTGTGTGTGTGTGTGTAAGTTTTTTTTTTTTTTCCTGATTTAAAAAGTTATTGTAGTCAAGTCTATTTTTTCTAGAGTTTTTTCTGTCTTAGAGAACAATAAAATGTTGTAAAGAAAATATATTTTTTAAAATTTTTATATCAAATTTACTTTAATGTCATATTGTTGGTTTTAAATTGGAATATTTTTTCTCCTCCTACAATTTTCCTTTCTTTTGGGACAAAAATGCTGTGTGCTTTCCATTTAGATTCTCTCTTTGTATCAGGGGCATTGACAGAAAGAAACATTGCTAACTGCTAGCCTCAATCTCCTCTTGTTCTCTCCCATTTCATATAATAAAAAAAACCCAAAATATACTCATTTATGTGTGTGTCTGTCTACACAACCAAAAAACAGAGCTGAAGAAGTGAAGTACATTTAAAACTTACTTGATTCAGTCTGCATCAATAGCAATGAAATTAATTGATAGTTGATTACTTAACTGCAGCAATTGCAGGTGACTGAATCAAAAACAAAACAAAAAACCTAATCTGAAAAAAGAAGATAGAAATAACTGAATTGCTAGGATTCTTCATTTTCCCAACAATCTTTCAACACACATGTACATTGCATTACTAGAGTTGTATTTTCTTTTTTATTTATTTTGGCTACTCATTATTTTTAACACTTTCACTGCTACTCATTTGCCCAGTGCTGCCCCCATCCGGCCAGCCATTTTTAAAGAAAATGCCAAATTTCAACCTACATATTTTATTACACAGAAAACTGGCACCAGTGTGTTTTACAGCATTCCATTTTCATGGATAGACCTGGGAATGACTTACCAGATCAGTAATGCATATACACATGATATCTTTTGAAGCATTGTCCTTTGTGATTTTACGATAGATTGCACAATGGGACACTCATACCAGTGGTATGCAAAAAACGTAGATTTCTGTACTTAGCCAGCTGGAGCAAGATAAGAAAAAGATCTCCGTAGTTAGCAGCAGAAGTGTTAAGCAGATGCCAAAGTCTTGTCCTTTATTTATAAAATCATTTGAATATCTAGAGTTATAAATTCTTATTCAAATGTTATTTAACTAGTTCTTTTAATTTTCACTTATGCAAAATTACTCTCCATGCACTCTGGGATCCATGTCAGTTGGTACAACATTTGATATTTACTTTCTTAACACATGTGTGATTGTTATTAAAATTAACAAAACTAATCAAGTTTTTTTCATAATTAAATTTCAATTAATGGTTGTGTCACAGATAGCTACCATTAATATATGTCTCTGACTATATTAGTTGAGGTCATGTTTGCCAGTAATTCTGTTCTGTTCACTGTTGGACATAACACTGGACATGTGTAACCCAATCAAAATTAAGCATTCTTTTAATTCAGTCTCCCAACTGGTCATGAGTTTAAACTGTACAAATTGTGTGAAAGTGTATGAAATTCTTTTCTTTGATTTAATTGCTTGATTCTGTCTAAGGTGTCTCAATTTCAGACCACATAATCTCAGTTAGTAGACAATATGTGAGAAAGAATACTTAGTTGGTGACTTTATTGAATGGGAAGATAATTTTCAAGGATTGGTTGTTAGTGTTGACTTTGTGCTCTGCAACTCTTTAACTTACTGGCAAATGTCTTTTCAGGTCTTATGATTTTCTTTGTCCTTTTTTTGACTTTGTTGAAATTATTTTATTAGTAGAATTCGGAGGCTTGGATTGAGGAATCTGAGAGACGAGTTTGAATTCCAGTCAAATCCATTACATTCTCTTACGTGCTAATGCCTCTGGGAAAGGTATGAATCCTCTTCTTCTCCCCTCAGTGATGGGCAAAATATCAGCACAGACTGGGTTCTATAGCCTTGGATGGCAACTGGTCTGCTGCAGAAAGAAATGGCAACCTACTGCGGGAAAAAATCTGCCTCATCAGTCATGTATTGAAAGATATATGATCGCCTAAGCATATATCACACATGGCACATAACTGACTGAGTGGAATTTGAGTTTTGTTAGTCCAGGAATTGTTTATAAATCCCATGATTTTCTGTTCAGCTATTTGTTTTCTCACTATAACTTTGGCTGTCTCTAACAATAAAACATAGACACTTTGAAATTGATTTTTAAATAATTTAGTAAAGGTTATAATTTTCTATCTATATAAAAGCTTTGGTTATTTGGTTATTGGATTGTCAGATTAGTATACAATACAGTTCATGACCTTATTGCTCATCTGTTAGAAAATGACCCTTTGAGGCTTGAACCAGTTTTTCCTCTTGTCAGTATTTCATTTGAACTGCATCCAATGTTAACAGCTTTTTGGTTTGGGAGTACAATCTAAATGAGTAGAATAATTTAATTCAGATGTTGTAACAATTAGTAATTGTTACATCAGTGCTTCTCAGTTGCAATAGGTTTATGATCTGATTCAGAAATAAGCATTATTAGCCAAATCCATGATTATCATGACTTGAAATGAATTTAGCTAGCCTTCACTTGGCTATCAGTACTGAAGTGATACCATTGCCATTGTATTTCTTGAGATAGATTAGTAAATAAAACTGGAAACTATTTTGAACACCATTTTTTTCCCTCTTCCTGCTTCTTCTTTTTTTATTTTTTTGCTCTGTTGCTTCTCTTTTTATTTCTGAAATTCAGTAAATTTATTTTATTTTTTTGGCAACATTCTTGATTTGCCTTCTTGTTTTTTTGTGCTTGATTTGCTGTGTTGTTTACTTTTTTGTTGTTGTTGTTGATGTTGTTGTTGTTGTAGCTTGTGATTTTGCTTTGGTAATTCTGCTAGGTGTGCCCCACCATCCTGGTCTGGCAGGTAGCGGCACGATGCAGCAACGAGGTGTCCCCAGTATGTCCCTGGCACCAGGCCTCAGCAACAATGTCAGCGGAATGAGTGGTGTGCCCCCATCTGGAGTCCAGCAGCAGCAGCAGCAGCCGCCTCAGCCTCCACAGACACAGCAAGTCCAACAGCAGCAACAGCAGCAGCAGCGCTCTCCCTATATGTCGCCCTATCATCAACATCCACCTCCACCACACCATCACCAACATCATCATCACCCCGGCATGCGGTATCCAGGAACACAGCCGCCACCTCCTCCACTACCAGGCATGTCCTCTCAGAATCGAATGTCTCCTATTACCCACCGCGGGATGGTCCCAGCCCCAGGCATGTCCCCTAGTCCCTATCCGGCTCTAGTCCCCCAACACCCTAACTCGAGCATGATGAATGCTCCTTCAATGAGCATGCAGGCTGTACGAATAAATATCATGCATCAGCAACAACCCATAATGGGTGTAGCCAATGCTGTGCTGCCTATGATGATGTCACGTAGCCCTCAGACCAACAATCCATCTGAGCTGATGATGCCAGAGCAAGGTAGATGTCATCATTTATACTTGACACTCCTCTTCCACTTCTTCCTTGTTCACCACCATCGCCACCACCACCACCTTGTCTGTGCACTCACTTCTTTCTCTGCCCCCCACCCCCATAGATAGCCTCTAGTCAAGCAAATCTGAATTTGTTTCATTTGATTAGTCCTTAAGCAGGAAATAGATACTTCAAATCTCACCTTGCCTTCTTTAGACATTCATTCCAGTCTCTCTCTTTATCATGAGACTGATAAGCAAAAAAAGTTTGATTTGCATTTCCCTGAATGCGACTGATTGTTTATATTCAAATTGCCGGTTTGATGGCAGATGTTATGCATCAATGTAGAGGATAAGAAGAATTCATTGTTGAGCTAATATTCACTTGCTCAACTTCAATCCTTTTTACAGTTGTATTTGACTTGTACAAGAAACTTTAATTGAAACCTGTTCTGTTTTTGAAATTGCTTTTCCTAAATAGTGCTAAATTTAACTCCTGAAAATTTTAGATTCTCTCCCCAGTGAAATTTGTCAGTCTCTTATTCTGAGAGTTCTTGAAATCCAAGCCTCATATAACATATAGATTTCTACGTCATTTGGCTTCCAGATAATTTCTTTTGTCCTGAAAACTGTCAGTGTAGAGCAACATGTCATCCTCTTGAAAATTATTGTGTTATTTGGCTGAATATTTTGAAATTTATTAAAACATTGCAGCAATTGACTCAATTTATCTGGGAGTGCAAACAAAATTTCCTTAAGAGTGAAACCTTTAATCAAATGGTAAAGAATAAAGTCTTTTTGTCCTGAGGCATGCTCACTACTTTTGTATTTAAATTCTTCTTCATTATTACTTATCATTTGGGACACAAATGTCCTGTTAACTTAGTAAAGCCATTCTATTTAGTGTTGTCTGTCATTATTTATAGATATAACTGTACTTGACTCTTTGTGCACTGTTTCTTAGAGTTAACTGTTTTCATCTTAGTCTCTTTCTACAGTTGATTTCTACCATAAATGTTTCATAGTTTTCAGCAGCAGATAGTTAACAAAATGTTGCTCCAACCCTAATTCTTCTCCTGTGGCCTTTTTGTCATCCAAATATCAAATTCTGTTAAATATAAATAAATAATCTGAGTTGCAGAAATGTCATCTTTCAGCAAGAAGTGACTTTTTGTTGGTAATTGCAACTCATATCATTTGCTATAAAAGATTTATCCAAGGTTTAACTTTTTGTTCAAGATTGAAATATCTTCACAGCACTGTTTTGATATATGTATGTTAGCCATTTAGCTCTGCAGAGTTGCCTATGTAGAAAAAAAAATGCTCAATTATTGCAGTTAACAGTTGGTATTTAAATTCTGTTTGCTTTGGACAGACCTTTTATTATGCTTTGATTTTATTTTTGTTAAATCTTTGGCTATTTTCTATTTAGGTAGGAAGAATATTGGTCTTTTCTCAATCTGGCCTCGGGGACTTAAGGCAATTTAAGCCTGTCCTTGTTAGGATTCTAATTGGTTGCTAACTCTGTAAGGCATCAAGGTATTTGTACTGATGATATATGTGTTTATGTGTGTGTTTAAAGCAGATAGTATTGCTCAGAAGCAGTGATTAAGGTGCTTTTTTTCTCCTGTTACCTCTTGAGTAAAGTGAGTTTGGTGTGCAATGGTTGCATTTTCCGCATCTTATATTTGCAGTATTGGTTGAAAGGAAAAAGATGTGTTCCAATTTGAATCTTGTTGCACTAAAACAAAAACAAGTCATAAAGCTCACTCTTGGAAGGTTCTCAAGGCAAAATGCAGCCTTTTTTTTATTAGTTGTTGTTACAGTTTTAGCTTAACACTATTGCAGACAACACAATCTCTAATTTTTGTCATGGAAAAGCGGTGATTTTTTGTTGTTGTTGCTACCTGTCTAATTTTTATGGTTCCCTTTAGTTTTGGAATTTTGATTAGAAAAAAAAAAAAAGTCCCCACTTGCATTATGTTAAAATTCAAGGATTAACATGTAAATAAGGAAAAATGTAAACAAAGTTTACTTTTGTAATAGAATGTGTAATCTCATTGACACCATGTCCTCTGATGAGTATTGGAAAGCAAAATGATAATAAAAAAAGTAAAAAGATAAAGCTTAGTTTAATATTCAAAGCTATTTGACTTTTATGCTATTCATTTTGAATTTTTTCTCTTTTTTTTTTTCCCCTGTAAATAAAGTGAAAGAACCAATAACACCTGATGGTTATAAAAAAGAAAACTGGAAGCTGTTTTTAATAAAACAAAAAATATATTTAAAAAAGGTCCACTAATCCTGCTTTGCTAAGAAACATTTTACAGAAGATTAGGTTTCCAAATTTTAATGAAGAAGTACACATGATGAGATTTTTCCTTCTGGTTGGTTGGTTTGTTGAAAAAAGACAATAATGTCTATGTAATTCATCTTGTGTTGGGCTGAGTATTGTACATATATATGTATGTAATTTTTACAAAATTTATACAAGCTCCCAGTTACTCCTGCTTAATTGGTTTGTCTAATGTTTATGTAAGAGTGGAATCTGATGCTGCTTCAAAGTGCTCAACTGATGATGAACTCTCCTTTCAACACTGGTCAACCTCTGCTCCATCCATTATTGGTAAGGAAAGAGGGCTCTCTTATGATGACCCTGACATCCATCAAAGGCTCTTGCAAGTATTCCCGTGAAACCCTGACCCTCCTGTCCTTCCCCTCACCCTGTGCACCTATCTATCATGACTGCCTGCATGTATTACTAACAGGGAACAGTCTTTGTTGTTCTGAACACACAGAAAACTTTGGCATGGTGTGCGCATGTGTGTGTGTATGTATGTATGTATGTGTGTGTGTGTGTGTGCCTGCTTGTGTGTGCATGCTTTATTGATGGTTTCTCCAGGGAATGGCTAATTCCTAGTTGAGATAGTATACTGAAAAATGGTTGCTTTTCTATTTCTAGCTGAAGTAGGCTTATTAAAAGCTTTTCTATACCAGGTACAGAAATGTTTTCTTGTCGAAAATATATTTAAACTTGACTGTATCTGTGTCTCTCTTCTACTCACTAGCCCTGTTAATTTTTTTGCATGTGATTATTGTGAAATTTGTACTATATTTTGTCTTGTGTTTTTTTTTTCTTGTATTTGCTTTACATTGCTTGTTCATCTTGGTTGTTATCCAAGTAGCATTGGTTCTAAACTTGTTTAACTTTTGTGGATGGCCACTGAAGTGAAAAATTCACTGCATCATCATCCAGCAAAACCTTTTCTACAATGAAACTGTTTAGCAAACAACCAGTTAATTTGATTAAATTTCTTTTCTTTTTATTTATGACTAAGAAACAACTACTCAGTCATCTGGGGGGAAAAGTCATCAACTGGCAAACAGGATTCTTCTCTAAAAGTTATCCTGCAAAAATTGCTAACAGCTGTTTATATATTTTCTCTTTTAGATTTACATCTAGGAAAGTTTTAGTTTCCTCTTCATGTTATTTCATGTCTGGTTATTTAAATCTAAATAATCTAACCTAATTGTTTAAATCACTTGTTCTAGTGAAAATAAAAAAGGTATCTTGTTTAGTTGCTCTGTGATTCTATTTCAGCCTTTTCAGTTGTCAATCAAATGATTGTTGGCCATAAGAAATTGTTAGAGTGCTCTTTGTAAAGCAACTGCCAATAATTATTACTATTTTGTAGCAACCAAGTCATGAGAGACACCATATATTCACTATTAAAACTTTATTTATAAACAGTTGCTTGACTTTTCAAAGAAATAAGTTTGCTTATGGTGGTGTACATTGCAAAAGATTCAGTGCATCTATTTACTTTGCTTACAAAAGCAAATAAGGCCAACTGTTGTATCTTGTTTTGAATAAGGTGGCTAGCAGTGGCCTCTGTTCAAAGATGCAACAATGTATCTTGTTTCCTAAAATTGTTAGTTTTGTTGTATGCAAGTCAGCCTCAACAGCTAAAAACGTTTCAAAGGCAAACCAAATTGTGCTCTGTAATTGTAAAGCATGTAAAGTTTTATGGTATTAATATTATACTTGTTGATATGCTTGTCACACTTCTAACAGCCTGTGTTGATTCTGCCTAAAATTATGATTGTAGCAAAGTAGTGATCTATCACTATTTACATTGCTTGGACTGTCATCCTCATCTTTGTTGCCATATTCATCACAACGTTTCGGCTGTTGTACATTCCGGCCTTCTTCAGGTGGTTGGAATGTTGAACTGAACCCTTTATTTCGCTCGCTGGGGTAGGCTGTTCTAGCTCCACGTGCCATGTCTAATGGATGTCAGTTATCAGTTATCTCCTGTTAATTCCCCTCTCCAAGTTCTCCACTGCTTTAACCAAGTATTGAACTCACACTCTTTGGGTCCTGTCACTGGATCTAACTAACGCCTTTATCCACTATGTCCTTGAGGACATCTGTGTATGATTTTCTGGGTATTATAGACCTAATGTCTTCAGCAATCATTTTGTACTAGTGCTCATATTGCAATTTTTGCTGTTATCATCATGTTTTTACTAGAGCTTGTATTGCAATTTTCATTGTTATTATTGCTTTTCTCTGGCACTCCTTATTATCAGTTCCCATATTGTATTCATTTCTATGCTTGGTTGACTTAGCAGATTTTTGTAGTCTAGCATATGATCTATCCTTGTTTTATTTAGGGTTGTTCTATGGCAACCAGTGATATAGCCAACACCACCACTATCACTACCATTTTTATTAGGGATCAAAAATTTTCTACCTAAACTTATGTTAATAGGAGCAGAAGACTGGGAAAAGCTAATAATTTTGAATTTTTAATTGTTCTTTCTTAGGGAATTAGCAGTTTTAAGTTAACTGTTATGTTATTGTTGTAGTTGTATAAACAATCTATAGCAACTGTTTTCACTCAGAAGTGCATTTTCTGACCTGCAGGACTTTTGGCTTGATGTTGTTATGTAGTATTACATTGTACAGTTCAGAATTGCTGATGAAATCTGTTGGCCAGTCGATGATCCAGGTGTCATCTCTATGACTTAAGGTGATATGAGATGACGTGCAGAATCAAGTGTGTTGTTGTAGACAGATAGGCACTTGCATTGAGGAGAAAGCTCTGTAGCAAACTTTGTCCCCACTCTTGGACATGTATGTAGGTACATCAATAAGTCTATAGTCTAATGAGGGAAAAAAAAAATAATTTATGCGAAAATATTTGTCAATATAATTTTCCTAGTAAGTAAGGCATGGTGGAGTAATGGATAGTGGCTCAAATTGAGGAATTGGAGAGCCGAGTTCGAGTTCCAGTCGAATCCATTACATTCACTTACGTGCTAATACCCTTGGGAAAGGTATGAATCCTCTTCTTCTCCCCCCAGCTATGGGTAAATAGCAGGACAGACTGGGTTCTATAGCCTTGGATGGCAATTAGTCTACTGCAGAAAGAAATGGCAACCTACTGTAGGGGGGAAAAAAACCTGCCTCGTCAGTCATATATCAAAAGATACATGATCACCTAAGCGTGTATCACACATGGTACATAACTGACTGAAGTATATTTAATACAGTGGTGCATGTTAATCATATAGATTGAATATTATACAGTGAAAAATTTAAATCCAAATTCAGCTCACAACAATGTCAGACTGATCCATTCTTGTATGCATGCATGTCAGGTGATAAGTGTAAATTGTCATCGATGGAGTTTATAGTTTTGGAAATAGAACATTTGTATGCAGCTGTACAATAACATGTGAAAGATAGAAATGTTTTCAGTGAACCTTTTGTAGCAAGTGACATTTTATGTATTTTGTGGAACCATTTGCAAATTATTTGTCTTGTAATTTGCAAACATCTTTTATCCTTTTTTCTACACATGCTTATTTTAAGAGATTATTTTTTAATGCCTAATTCCCTCTTAGATATTTCCTAGTTGGGTTGGATACAAATTATTCAACTTATAATGATCAAATCCTGTTTCTTTAACACTCCTGCAGATTTTGCCAATGTTAGGAAAGAGGACCTTTTGCAATTTATTGATGTTTTTTGTATGTTTCTCTTCTGTACTGATTGCCAATTTTCCTGTTTCAGCCAAAACTTTTTCATTTTGTTTACTCCCCCCCCCAGTTGTGATGTATAAAAAAATCCAGCTGTACTGAAATAGACACAAGGCTGGATTATTTAAAAATATTGATCAGTTTTTTTCTCAAAAGATTCAAATGTTTTTAAGTCAATCTCCCGTTTTCCCTTTATTTCAGTAGGATTTAGACATAACATAATTTGGCCAGACTCTGATATACATACAACATTAAAATTGCTTCTGTGTTTGAGGATAACTTTGCAGAATTAGCTCTCATTATTCTGTTCATCAATAAATTTGTGATCCTGTCAGGCTTATCCATCTGCAGAATGTCATCAGCATTGGTTTTAGCCTCACCCTGTTGGGATAGCAGTGTAGAATGTGGGACTTGTTTTGGTCCCTTGGATACGTGTAAATTGCTGCCAATTTGATTGAGCTTCTTTTTTTTTTTTTTTTTTTTTTTTTCTTTTTGCAGGTGCCCAGCACATGGCTCCTCCTCCACAACCTCGTCCACCTTCTCCAATGTTTGTTTCAGTGCCACCCAGAACACAACGACTTCTACACTCAGAGGCATACATCAGGTAAGTTCATCCTACACCCAAGGTAATGATGATTCCTGATCAGTGTAGCTGCCATTATTGATTTGTTGGAGGTCATCAGTATTTGCTCTAGAAAACTATTGATAATCATCAGAGATCCAAAGTGTTTTTTTTGTTAGGCAGTCAGCAAAATATTTCAATTTATTTACCTTGTTGATTTACTGCCCATAAAATTATATTAAGTCTCTAATATTTGATTAAAACAAAAATTTGCTTAAACATAAGGGCATCAGCCAGTTTTTTTGATTTTCATTAAAAATGGAATATTTTAAAATGGGGAAAACATTTTTTCATTTTAAAAAATATAAAATTTTTTTTATCATAATATATATGTGGAAAATATAGCCAAGAAAAATGTCTTAGAATTGTTAATTGATAGGATATTTTTGAACTCCCAATAGTTCAGTGTTTGTATATTGTTTCTCAGTGTTTTCTAATCAGTGCTGTATCTATTTCTCTGCACACTGCCTGATCACTTTCATCATAAACTGTAGTGAATTATTGATTGTTTTTCAATAATTATGCTTTTGTAGATTTGTTATTTAAACAGAAAAAATATTTCTCAAGTTTTTCTCTGCTTTATTCACCTTGCAGATATATTGAGGGTTTGAGCACAAGCAGCAAAAATGTGAGCGACTGGAATAAGTCTCTAATTGCCACTCCTGAATCTACAACTGCACCAAATGAGAAACGTTTGCCTGCTCATTGGATCTCTCAGGGAACCAACTACCATGGTTCATTAACAAATGCTCTGTGGGCCCTGAGAGACCTTATGCTCAAAGATGCACTCAGTATTAGCCGAACCATTCCGTTTGAAGCATTATGTAAGTAAAAGCCATTTCTTTTGGTTCCTGTAACAAATTTTTTGCTGCATAACAGAAAGCCTTTTCCCAAGTGATTATCATTATAAAACATTGCATTCACCATGCCTTGTATTTTGTCATTGTTGTTGAAATGTCTGATTTTCAATTTCAAATGTTATCAAAATTAAAACTGAATTGTTTTTTTATTTTGTTTTTTCTTTCAGAATCAGTTGATGCTGCCATCTGTTGTGTATCTGCACCATTTACAACTGTTGATTGTGCAGCCGAATCCCACCTGCATTTAAGCCCAAGTTGGAGCAATCAGCATAATCGTTGTTCCCTCTCCTTCATTTGGTTTAATTATTCAGTTCATTATCGTAGACCATCAGATTCTTTTAGTCACTTTCCATTATTTTATCACTCGCTCACTATGAAAAGGGCATTTTTCTCACCCCCCCCCAAACATTGACTTTTCTCTTCTTCCTCTCCAATTGTGGTGCTTTTTTTAATAAGCCAACATGTTTTTGTTGGCCTGTTAAAGAATAAATAAACCTCCAATCCTCTTGTAAGCTGGATTGGCTCTGCATTGCATTTGTCCCATTTTTCTTGTTCACTTTATTTATTATTTGTATACAAAATGCTATCTAAATTGGCTTAGTTTGGATTTGTTTTTTCCTTTTTAACAATCCCTATTGCCCAACAGCATTAATAATCTTTTTGCAGATTGAATCGAATCATACCCTTTAAGGGATTTTAATGCTTACTCATTTAGAAGGTATCACTGATATTTATTGTCAATAATTCATGCAGTTTTTATGGTACTCTCTAAAGAAGATGAATTTTGAGAGAAATAAAGAAAAAATAAGAAAATTTTATAAACTTCCATAGTTGTTATTTCTTGTCTCGGCATTTCACACATTTTCTATTGTGGCAGCTTAGAGGATATTCCCCCTACTCCATCTATCTAAAGAAGTCATTCTAAATGTGAAGGTGATGATTTCTTTCTGATATTTTCTGAATAGTCCCAGTTGAAATCATTTTAATGTGATGTCTTATATGCCATCAAATAGAGGAAGAGAGAAACCAAGAAAAAAATCAGTTACTTGCACCTTAAAAATGCAGTAAATATTTAGGGAAGGAGAATTTAGCCATTTTTTTAAATTTTTGCAATAAAACTTAAACTGAAACTAGTGATATTTGGCAAATATATAGGATACAAAGAAATTCTTTCATTGGACTGATGGTTAGAGAAAGGAATTGCCATTGCATGGTTAATTTTGTTGCTTTTTTTTTTTTTTTTTTTTTGTAAAGCAAACATTTTCTTGAGGTTACTCTTTTACAGTGGAAGAAAAGTTAACTGTTATGAATTAAATCATGCTGAAGATACCATGAATTGTCTGCTCTGCACATAAGCTATAACTGTTTTAATGATGTGCCACTGCTATAAAGACAATAAAAGATCTTCGGTAAGCTGTCTGCTAAAGGAAAAAAAACTTCACTTGAAATTGACCCAAATGATTTTTATGTTTTAAAACTATTATATTATTCATGTTTTTATTCATTTTATAATTTCAGCCGCATTACAAGAAAAGATCTGTGTATAACATTTGATCCAACCTTCATAATATTTTTTTAAAAATGAAAGGTATTTTGTTTTCTGGTCAGGAAAAAACAAAAACAAATGAACAAAAAAAAATGAATCGCCTCCCTTACATTAGGTCAAAAGAATCAAAAAGGGAAACAATTTTGATGATGTTTCATTGGAAAAAAGAGTTTAATATTGATTGTCTATAAATATTTTCTGTCATATAGGAAAGAAATCATATTGATATCAACAAATTGAACAAAATATTTTCAATTGAACTTTTTGATCCAGTATAAAAGTTAAATTTATCAGATAGTATTTTTTATTTTCTACTCAAAAAATTTCATAAAATTGATTTCAATTCATGAACATTTTAATAAAATTTCTAAAAATGTTTTGCAGTAATTTAAATAGCTTCTTTGAAGTTTCAACTGTGGTTTTAACTGCAATAAAATAACTATATTAGTTGTAGACAAAAGGATATTTATTTTTACATACATAAAACAGATCCCTGATTGTTTTTAAATCATGCAAAAATAAGATAGACATCGTAGAAATATTAAGTGAACATTAATTTAGTGATTATTGAATTTTGAAAAAACATTACTTATCTTTTACTTAAAGTATATTGAAAAATACACTTGTTTACAGCATGTTTACCTGTCAACACAGTTGAAAGGTTAAGTGGTTGTTGAATACCATTCCTTTGCCCACAGTTGCTGAAACACCTGGCCAAATTTACAGAATATTTGACAGTTGAAGGATGGGTGATCAAAAATGATGAAACCTGTTTTCTTGTGTATACAAATGATGTCAACACGTGATAATTAATAAGCACATATGCTTAAAAATAAACATACTACTTGAAAACAGATATGTGTGTCCCTTTTTTATTATTGGATGGGTGGGAGAATGAAAACACTTATGTCGGAAATTAAACTGAAAATAAATAAACATCACTGCTGCTGGGCAGCTTTGATCCATGCTGATAAGTAAAATAATAATACTAGCCAGAAAATATCTTTTATTCTGTGTCTGTGTGTGTGCCTGTTTTAAGCAAAAAGTATTTAATTAATGTAATTCATTTGAGTTATCCTGAAACTTTCTCATGAAATTAACTTCACTCATTGACAATTATATTTTGTATATTTTTTTAAAATAGGTTTATTGTAGAGGAAAGACTTCCATACAAAAGAATACTGAAAAGTTCTCAGCACAATGTACTTCACAAAATTGGACAAAATGATCAAACATTTATTGATTTTTGGAAGGGCTTTTTGAGTTGAACAGTTTTCAGCAATTCTTCTATATACCAATTGCATGTAATTTTTAAAAAATCTAAAAATACATAAATCTAATATTTTTGGACAATTGCATTTCTAATCAAATAAAAAAATCCATTACTATATAAAATATTTCAGAGGAACATAAATTAATAATCTTTTTTAATATTTAAAAGTTGATTAAAATATTTGAAATCTTTAAAAATACTTTCATGAATTAATTTCTTTTAATTTTACATAATGTATTGTTTATATATATTTTAAGAAATAACTAAAAAGTTTCTAAAGAAAGCAGTACTTAATGTTGCAGTTTCAAATAATTAGATTCCAGGGCAATAAAACTGATTGGACTAATTTTCAAAAATATTTAAGTTCTTCATTATCTATTTAGTCATGTTTTAAGGGTATTTATGTCCAGATTGTTATTTACTGAGATGTTATGAAATTAAACAAGAGGACTATTTACATTAAAAAAAAAAACAAATCTCCTTTTCATAAATAAAATCAGTAAACAAAGAATAAATACAAATATTTGATTATGACCTTTTCAGTTCCAAGTACCTATCTGGTGCTGAAAAATTTGCTCTTTTTTTCTGTGATTTTTTTTTGTATAAATATAAACAAAATTTAAAAACAAAAAACTTAGCTCCATTTTTGCATAATGGAATAAAAAAATATTTTTATATTAGATTTTCTCTTAATTCATTTTTTTTTAAATGATATAAATTTGGAGAAAATTGATAAAATTTATTAAAAAGTTTTTATAAGTAGATGTTAGATTTGCTACAAATTTTTGGTCATTACTAATTAGATTTAGTGATGTTTTACTTCCCACACTGAATCTATTAAAGTTCTTATCAGTTATTAATCATCAGGAATTATGGTGCTGGCGAAAATGTTAGAAATTCATTGCTTTAAATTGGAATTTTGATGCAAATATAACAGAAACTTTGAATATTGCAAACTACTTGTAATACTACTTTTAAACTGTCAAGTCTTTAAGATGTAATCTTGGGTCTGATTTAGTAGATATTGGTGTAAGGGAGATAATTTAAAATTATAATAGTTATCTCCCTTAACATGTGACTAGTCAACTTGAGTCTGATTAATTTTGGAATACAACATTGATTACAAAACAAAGGTTCTTATTGTTCACTCTCACTGATTTCACTATATGAAAAACCAGAATTTGAATTTTAAGTTTCAGTATATACAAAAGGAAGATGTATTTTCAATCATGTACAAACATGATTAAAAATGCATCTTAAGTCTTATTAGTAAATATTAACATAACATATTGCTGTAGAAAGCATGAGGTATTCAATCATTATTTGAGTTGAAGGGTTGAAAAGATTAAACAATGTGTTCTAGTGAAAATCTTGTATTGCTAATCTGACATTGGTATTTTTTTTTTTTGACATGATGTGGTGTATTCAAGTAAACTGTCCAAGACTAAACAAAATTTAATTGCGTTTGTTGTATTTATATATTTTAGCAGATCATATTGGAAATTTGAGGATGCATGAGGTAAATTCCAAAATGACAAATTATACTCCAAATGCTGTGTTACAATTTTTATTAAAATTTTAAAAATGTGAAAATCAGCTCCCAGACGAGATTATTTGTAACTTGACATTTTAAATGCCCCAAATGCTTATCAAATGTTTTTCAAAATTAATGCTTTCACGAACTGAACTGAATTAATAAACTATTTCATTTTCATTGAGTTCATCTTTTATTTTGTATCTTTTTTACTTTTTCTTTTCAACAAATATAATAACTATTTTCAAGCTGTGGTTTGATCATGATAGTTTCTTTTCTTACACTTTTTTTGCCTGTGGAGCTTCTCTTCCAGTTTTTTTTTTTTTTTTTTTCTTCTCTACCACCTGTGATCATCAGAAGTTTGAATGTAGCATCAGTTGTGATCTTCTGTCTTTCCTGTTCTTTTATTGTTCTTTTTCACCATTAAAATCTTCTCACTCTCTTTCATTCTCAATAACCCCTGGCGTCTTCATGACATTATTACCTTGCTTGGAGTGAAGTTAAAAAAAAAAAAAAAAAAAAAAAAATAAATTCGCTTATGGGACAAGTAAATTAGAATTAGTAAAAATTTAGTTTAGAAGCAAATTTTATACATTTTAGTTTTTGCGAATTTCGTGAAAAGAAATTAATAGAAATATTGGATTATTAAGATTTTCTTGATTTTCTTGTCTATTTTAGTCAGTGCAATTGAAAGCAGAAATGGAACCGTTCTAAATTTAAACGAAAGTAGGTTAACAATGATGTCACTCATTCTGAGTGTTGATGGGAGTTATCTCCCTTGTCATACAGACAGCTGAAAAGGTTACGAATTAATGGGAACGCTTTTTTTTCTTTTGTATTCTAGGCATGTTATTAGAGAGTGTGGGGAGCAAAAGAAAATGTTTCTGTGGGTAGG